GGAGCTGGACACAGCTGCAAGAGTACTGCTGGTAAGCAGTGTATAATAGGGTGGCCAAAAGAGAAGGTTCCAATTTGCATGAACGTTCCATGTACTCCTGTATATGTAGACATGCCAAGTTGAAAAATAATAGTGTAATTTGAAGAGACATACAACATCCCCCCCTGCAATGACCAGCTGTGACCAGGTGTGTGCGTGCCCATTCAGTCCACTGTCCAAGGTCTCACTCCCGATGGACAGCTTCAGGGCAGTGGCCTGGCTCCTCTTCCTTCTTGGAGTTCTCAATCTTGAAAGTGGGCTTGGATGGATCAACTCTTCAGGGAGAGGAACACTTCCACACAGGGGACAATTCCCCATAAAAAAGGATGCATGGCTACCTTAGCAGTATGTAGACTATTTACTGGGTTCCAAGCGCTGCAGAACTGTGTTGCAATGGCTTGTTTGTGTGCATTCAAGGTGCAAGGTGCTCTACTGTAAAGCACTGCTGCTTGAGGAAGAAGGCAGGCCGGCCCCACCATAAGGCAGAGGGCGGCAACTGCCTCAGGAAGTTGATGATGATCATGATGGACAATAAGAAGGAAAATGGTTTGGGAGGATCTTCTGCCTTGGGTGACAAAGCAGCCAGATATTATATACCATGACAAAAGGGGGAGGTTGAGTGTATTATTTGCAGCTTTGCCTCAGGAAGCAAAATGCTTTGGGCCAGCATCCTCCAGTTCTCCAGATTAAGTCCATGCTATTTTTAATATTACTGAATAAGGATAATGGTTTGTTAACACTGGGTTATTTATCTATTACTGTTCATTATATCATTGGACCAGCAATGAATGTCAGTGAAACCCAGCCTTTCCATCCAAGCAGAGCATTTTCTCCTCCTCTTCCCGGCACCTTGCTCTGCCCATTGGTGCTTCCCAGCATCCTAGCAAGTTGATGGCTCAGGCGAGAGGGCACATGTATGGGTCCACTGTGGCTTGTCTTCCATTCAGGGCCTTGTTAGCAGTGGCCTATGGCCACTGCTGGGTGTTTTTAACTGGGCCTGGTAGCTCTACCTCTGCTTCAAGTGCTGCATCTCACTGCCTTAAAGGGCCACTGTCTTTCCTGAAGTCATGGCTTCCTCTGGCTGGTGAGGGGCTGAATAGTGGGAATCTGGTTTGGGGGACACTCCCCTGGCCTGTATTGTTCACCGAAGGAAGCTGCTGTCCATTCCTCAGAATGAGAGCACAGCTGCAGTTCACTTTTTCTCATGGCACAGTAGTCAGCGTATTGGACTGTGGCTCAGGAGATCTGGGTGCTAGGCCTCACTCAGGTCATGAAGCTCACTGGGTGACTTCGGACCAGCCACAGACTTTCAGCCTAGCCTAATTTACCCAGCTGTTGTGAGGATGACATGCAGAGGAGAACTATGTATGAAGTTTTGGGCTCCTTGAAGGAAAGCAGGATATGCATGCCATAAATACAAATCAATTGATTAATATATTCCATGGCTTCTGATGATGCCTACTCCTAATCAGGCTTTTTGTATTGTGCTGTCACCCCTGTAGCCTTCTTTTGCAAAAGGTTCTTTGCGCTTGGGCAAACTTTGTTCCCCCAGGCATGTGAATTTCTCCGTCTCCTTTCTCACTGGTTCCATTTTGGCTACAGGCCTGTAGGCACTCACAGCTTGAGGGTGCTATTGGAAAAAGTGATTATTAACAGACACTGTTTATCCTGTTGCATATGGCATATGCTTTCAGAACAGCTTGCGAATTAAAAACAAAAATAACATATTTGTTTTAAAAATTAGAAACTACAGCTCCAGGGCAGTCTCAACATTAACTCAGGCAGCTTCCAATTTCCGAACAAATACAGGATGGAAAAGCTAAGAGGCCAGGTGGATAAAACAGCTGTACTTGAGATTGAAAGGGGCATTTGGGGCAATGCAGGCAATCCCTTCTGCAAAGACCATTCTGAAGCCAGAGCACCCCTGCATAAAAGACCAGATCTCTGGATACCACCCTACTTCAGGAGATGGTGGTAGCAGCGGGGAGAGAAGAATGGAAGAAAGGTTTCTGAGCATGCTCTTAACCTTGAACTGTGCTTGCAATTTGGTGCTAGTAGACAGAGCAGTTGTTCTCTTTGACCAACTGCCAGGGAGCAATCTAGCAGCTGTATTTTCTGCTAATTGTATAGTTAGTTTCCATGCAGTCTTCAAGGGGAGCCCCACACACCACACATCCTGGTAGTCTAAGCAGAATGGTGTGAGAGCATGGATGATGTTACCAGGAGCAGGAGCCTACAGAGCATGAGGTCCAGGTAGGAGACAAACCAAACCATCAAGATATTTATCAGTCAATACAACAGGCTGGGTTGGACCAAAGTAGCAGCACCTTGGACAGTTCCAAGTTAGCCACCTGCTCCATTGAAATCTGGAGTTTAGCTGAGTCCTACTATCTGGTCCTGCCTATTCCTCACTTCTGAAGATGAGAGCGCCTTGGAGGGACAGCCTGGATCCTAGCATTATGTCGTTTTTCTGCTATTTCTTGCTGGGAGCATTGTTCTATATCAGCATGTTGCCTTTCTGGAGCTATGAAGCCCTTGGGATGAGGATGTAGACCTTTAGGATGGTGGTAAAAGAGGCTCGGACTTGTGTCCTATAGAATTTGTTATTTGAGACTAACATCTCCATCCTAAATTTGATCCTCAGAGTTTGGGGGGGGGGATTTTTTTTGTTTGCCAGAAAAGGTATCTTGTGTGTGTGTGTGCGCGTAAAATGAGACTTCTGGGACACGAGACCACAGAGTGTCCCTCATCTGAGATCAGTTTCCCTCACCTTAAAAGGATGCAGGCATTGGTGATGGGGGCCCTTTAATGTGGAGAAAGAATCCCAGGACAAGATTCATTCCTAATATTGCAGGGACCATATTAGGTGGGTTGGAGAAATAGTTCTTCAAACATTACCTGCATTAGCTTCAGTCCAGGCTAAGTTGGATACACTTAGTTCTCATCACAATCAATCTCCTGAACTTATTTTCACATAGATTTCAATAAACTGGAGCCAAAGAAAGTGGAACTCAGGTCCCATTGACATGAATGTAAAAAAATATCCCCTGGTTTTAACATCAGTCCCAGGGATTTCCCTGAAAACAAGTAGCAGTACAACTTGGAAGCACTAGGGGGTGCTACTGGCTAGGAAACTATTGAACAGCTCCGGAATTAAAAGCTTCCCGTTTGGAACAAAGTATTTTAAGAAACTGGTACATCTTGACAAACTATTTTACATGCAGCAGAGGAAACAGATAAATACACTGTGAATTTTAGCAATATCACAGTGCTAGACAGCCAGCAGGATAATTTTTTTCCCATTTCCATTTTTATGTATTTTTTGCTGCTCTTGTGAGTTAGTACTCTAGCATTCTGAGTTTTAAACTAGCTGCAGATTCTGGGTAGCCTTCAAAAGAAATCCTACATATGATATACATTTCTTTCCTTTCATTCTTTCTGTTGCAATGCCTCCACTGTGGCCCATTAGGAAAGGCATTCTCCAGAGGTAGTGGCCCACTAGGGCTGGAGTTCTGAATCTTTCATCTGGCGACCTGGACACTTGCTGAAATGAAGGTACAGGGTTCCTGAGGATCTCCGTTGTATCTCAGCTCCCTGGACTCACCATCATGTACTTCACCTCCTCCTGTCAACCCCACGCTGTCCCTTGAATCCTTCTGCCCGAGTTTTTTCTCCCGCAAATCAAATGCACTCCTTGCCCACGGTCATAGATCTTTTACAGATAGATCGGCCTCCCAAGGACACCCCGAAGGATGCAGGGCATGTGTGCATTGCCATATGCAATTATGTGTGCATGTGCTTTACATCCTGTGGCCTGCAGCCCCCAATTTTTTCAGACTGTCACCCCACTCCTGGTATTCTGTAGTCACCACCAGCCATTAATTGGCATTATTTCCTCCCTGATCCTGGCAAAGAACCAAAGAGGACAATTTCCTCCTCTGTGCCCTGGCCACCGAAGCCACGGCAAACCATTCTCATGTCTGTTACTTGAGCAGAGCCACAATCCTCCTCAGATGTGTTGGGCTACAACTCCCATTATCCCAGCTGTGCTAGCTGTGGATGATGAGATGTAGCCCAACACATCTAGAGCAGGTCAAATTGGAGGTTAAATAAACTGTGGATTGTGGTAAACAGATTGAATGGAGTTGCATTTTAAAAAAAATGGATCTGTTGAGACAAATTATTACTTGGAAATAATGGATATTATCATCTGGATTTGACCTGACTTGTTCTTCAAGCTTAACTAGCATAGGGACAGTGTGCTAAAATACCTAGTGTAGAATTAACTACATAATTCTATAAATTTTCTCAAGCCATTTTGTTGGGATCTTACTCCAAAGAAACACACAAAGGTTAAGTCTTTTATTTATATTTGACTTCTTCCCCTGTAAGGAACCGTTATATTCACAGAGGATACTGCCTCAAACTCCTACTGAACCACAAAGCTTATTAGGTATCCTGGGGCCACTTCCATTCTGTCTAACCTAGTTTACAAGGTTTTGAGAGAATAAACAAGGGCATTGTGTATGCTACTCCAAGCTCGAGTATGAGAGATGACATCCATTTCATTTGAAGTCACTAAGCCCTTTTTTTGGGGGGGGGGGGATTAAAAGACTTCTGAAATACAGGGCTCATTTTCTTTAACAGACACCGAGATTCTCTTTATGATGCACCATAAATCAATTTGCTGTGTTGTGCAACAGTTTACTCTTGTGCTAACTATAGAAACCCCTTGATAAGCTTTATTTGCATATGACCTGTTTTAGTAGCATATTGGATCAATATTTTTTTTTTAAGATAAGCAGGTTGCTCTTTTGCATTTAATAGATCTAAGTTTTCTTTTTGAATTACCTAGGGCACTGTCAGATGAGGAAGGAATTCTGCCTAAAAAGTCTTATTCAAAAATCAATACATCACAGCATCACAGGCATTTTCTTCAGTGTAAGAACTAGGACTAGAAAGCCAGAGCAAAGAACATGCTTTATTGAGAAGTAGATACACTGTTAGCATATTCTAACATATCCAGAAAACGGAAAGGTTTGCTTTTGTACAAGAATGGTCACCCTCCCCTCCCCACAAGCAGACTGCCATTCCTCCCCGCCACTTGCTATGAACTAGAAGCTGAGGGCACTGGGTGACAGTTGCTGGCAATGTCCACAGAAAGAGAAACTTTGGCAGATTTAAGAATGGCGATAAAAAGACAAAACCGAAACACGAGAGCTGACCACAGGGGTGCTTGCACGGGGAACTGTGCTGGAGAGGGAGTGTGTTCAGCTGCAATCTATCTTGTCCCAAGACTGGAGACAAGCTAACAGTGTTAGTGGAGGTGTGTTGCTTTTGTAATCCAGCTAAAAACAAAAGGTTGCATTTTGAGCACACTTCTGTAGCTGGCAATCACACCAGACAGAGGTCAACGGCATGGCTACAGGATGTTTCCTTTGAGCTGAGTGGAGAAAGATTTCACTAAACATGACAAACAAAAACGTATTCTTACTCTTGTTGGAAATCATGTTGAAGTGCAGGACACGGCCGGCCAGCCCACCCACCCACCTGCCCCTTGTAAGGCAGTACAAGAAAGAACACACACTGCACGCCTCTACTCAGAAGACTGCAAGGCCCACCCAAGACTCCGGGCAAGAAAATTTCAAAGAAGAAAAGTTGTCAAAGATGGCAAGCTGTGGAAAGATCCAGCTTGCGATGGGATGGTGCTCGCTGGGGGAGAAGAGAGGGGAGGGGGACGCAGGACTGACTCTCCCATCTGTCTCCTGCGCAGCTTCTTTGGTCATGCTGCCTATCCCCCGACCCTTCAGCTTACTCTGCGGATCATGACTTGGTGCACTAGGCACACAGGCTCTCGGTGAAAGAGTGTGCACAAGGGGTGCCAACCTCTGCAAGGTTAACTCACTCAGCAAAAGCTCCAGGGGGTCTTTGGATAGGTTATTTCTATGAACAGTGGAGTTAGGCCAATGAATGTTGAAGGGTGTTGACCGAGTTCTCTCCTTTTTATACTTCAGGCAAACTGTGAGGTAGGTGGGCAAAGCAAGGTCCCGCCAGCACCCAATCTGGAGTGGACTGGAGCTCTCCACTGATCTTCACCTGCCACATCAGAATCCATCTCCTCCTCTGTGCCTTTCCCAGCTGCTGCAAACAGCAGGCAGGACCGGTGGGGGTCCCAGTTCACTTCAGCTAGATAAAGATCACTTGCAGGATGAGTGGCTGGCAGGCTCCCTCGCAAAGGCAGGCACACCAAAGCTCACACCCTAAAACCGACCCTATGCCCATACAAATACATTTGAAGCTATGGGTCCATCCACAGGTCTGTTTCTCATGAAACTTCCTTCATGCATTTTAAAAGGCCTCCATCATCTTGTGACAGTTGCCCCTATGGAGTCGGGGGCCAGGTTTTGGAATGTGGGAGCACATGTTGGGGGCCAGGTCTCTTTGGGAGACCTGATGTTATGGGTTCATTTTTGTTGCAGGTCCAACGAGCAAAATTTGTAGACAAAGTCACTGCAGAAATGCCCGTGAGAGCACATCTGCCCTCATATGTCCAAGGGGCTCTCATCATCCACCTTCAGATCATAAATGCTGGCAAAGACAGAGCTGAAGAAACGTTCCCTATACTCTTTAAAACAACAGGATGACGATGGGCAAGTCACTGGCTCAGGATGGTCTCACTAATTTCAGGGTTCCCAAACTGCAAAAATAGCCAGCCTAGAAGCAAGCTACAATGCGGTGGACAGACACTGCGTGGAGGCTCCCCCCCCCCATTCTGTTACAGCCAATTGCCCCAGGGGATTGGCATGACCAGATCTGAAGCCTCACCCCCACAAACACACATGGTGATCGAGTTGGGGAAAGGAGCAGCCTTCACCATGGCGTTGCTAGTGCATGTTCCTCAGGCAGAGCCTTCTCTGGGGCAGGAGGTCCAAATGGGGAGAAACACCAAAGCAGCAAGAAGGCACTACTGCCACGGGTAGATGCTGCCCTTGCGATTCCCCCTCCCACACAAATTCCCACATGAATTCAGCTGGCACTCGAAAAGGACTGGTGCGCAGTGTATTCCAAACTCACTACAGGAGTCCTTAGTTCAGCAGTAAGACTCACAGTGGGGTGGCGCTCCAGGCTACCACCAGGGCATTGCAAACAGCTGGGACCAGGTGGTGGCACCTTTTCCACTGGGGAAGGTTTCCCCTTGTTGCTGGGAGCTGGCTGCACTGGAGGCAAAGCCGCCAGTGGAACCCAGAAAGGGCTTACCATGTACAGGTCTGGAGTGTGGGGAAGCAGAAGCAGCCAACTGGCACTCCCACATTCTGAAATCAAGAGATCTCTGGGCACTTCCTCGCCTGGACTCCCCTGCTGTTCATGAGAAGGAAACAAAAGGAAAAACAGAGCACCTCGTGGAGGGCATCTGCACAGAAACAGGAAGCAGGTAGTTCAGATTTGTGACTGGGTGCAAGAAACTGCTGATCCTGAGGCAACCCAGCAGTCCAAGGGCTGTTGTCATTTCCAGTTGCATCTTGGCACCTGGTGGGTGGGAAATGGTCTCAATAAACCCACATGGGGAGAGAGTTGGGTGGGGGTGACTGGACAGAACGGATTGTACCATTTCGGAGGACAAGTGGGGAGATACCGTTCTGAAAGTGTGCCTGGCTGACTAGCTTCTTTGTCCCTACAATGCTTGTTTTCTTTTGTTGCAAGCACTTTCTATACGGGGAACGGATGAAAATGATGCCTCGCTGCCCCCTGCAAAATGGGGCAGTAAAGCCCTCTTGATCACCCAGGATGTGACCACCTCATTCTGCTGCATACGTAAACCAAGCCTTACAAGGCTGCAGTAGAAGTGGCAGCTTGAAACAACTGAATGGTGTGGGATGTGACAGAGCCTTACTGGGCTCGGGCCTTATGGCTGATGGGACAGACAGTGGAAAGATACAGGGTAAGGGATGACCAACCCTTCTTGGGGCCAAATTAGCTAAGGATCCAGAACCCTGCGATCATTTCAGCCTTGTCAGATATACAGAGGATCTGGGTCAAAACCATCCCCAAAAGAAGAACAGCATCCCCAGAAGTATGTGAGAAGTGGGGAGAGGTGGGCTGGTACCAAGAGCAGTGGCACAGCCACAATCCCAAAGACAGATCCTAACTGGGAAAGGAAAGAGGGTCACGATGACAGTGGTGGCAGAGGCAGCGGGTGGGACGGGCTGGGCTGGGCTGTCCACACTTTCTGGAGAGATTGGTCAAATTAAGTGCCCTTGGGAGGGGTCCATTTCAAGCAGCTGGGATCCATGATTTTATTGCTGTTGGATCTTTTGGCCTCTTTGGCAATCCATTCATCAATCAGATCCTGAGGAGAGGTAAAAAGACAGACAAAGGAAGTGCGGGTTAAAAGCTTGGGGAAAGTTACTAACAGAGCTGCATCTAGCGTGCATGGGAGACTGCCACAAAGCTGGGGGGAAAAGTAGGCCTAGTTTTATGCTACGGAAAAGGAACTGCTGTTCTGAGTAATCCCTAAAAATGAACCCAAGTGGTAGCTTCAGACACAGCCTTCAATTGTAAAAAACTACCAGAAGCTTCTTGTGTGTGCACTCTGCTTCAAGTGGAGCTTGGATGCTGTCGTATTTCTGGCTTAGTGTTGAGAGAGCAGATTGTGTGAGGCTGTCATATTGTGGACACTTTAATACTGCCTTCCCCAGTCTGGTAGCCTTCAGAGGCAATTGGACTGCAACCTCCAGAATTCCCATCCAGCAGGGCAATTGACTGGGAATTCTGGGTGTTGCAGTCCAAACACATCTGGAAGGCACAAGGTTGGGGAAGGTTGCTTTAATACTATGTTAGAGAATAGAATAGTAGAAAACCTAAGGCCCACAGGTCAAATCCAACCCTTCTGGGATCCCAATCTGGCCCTCTGGAGTTTTCTGAGGTGCACAACCTTCCCACAACCACCAATCATTTGGGGCTTCCTTGGCATTTGTGGCATTCCCCCCTTCCTATTCTAAATGGCTGAAATGCTTCTCATAAGGCCTACTTACTGGCAGGAGGTGCTTTGAGCTCCTATTATGGCTCTGACCAGCACTGGAATTCAGCCCCTTCAAGCTTCTCCAAAATGAAATTCCACCCATAGATTGAAAAAGGGTACATGCTCATTCTGCCTAAGATGAGGGTGTTCAAGGTAAGACTGGACAAGCGCAGGTTGGGGAGTACATGAGCGGAGATGGCTGGAGCCAGGGGTCAGACTAGATGGCCCAGGAGGTCCCTTCTGAGTTGCTTTCTTTCTATGCTCCTTCTTAACTGAAGGACAATTCATTTATATCTCACCCAGAAGTTGTGCTTGCTGAAGGAAAGCTCTGTAAGCTTTTATTCCCCATGGAGAACGCATTCTGTTGGGCATTTGGCCCATCGCCACTCCGTGCCATCATTCATAAGTCGTTCTTGTTCAGCAGCATATAACCAAGACACCTCTAAGCTTCAGCCCAGGGGTGGCTCTCCAAATGAGGACAGGCTACACCACCCACCCTCCCTGACAAATGAAGTATACTATGTCTAGGGCTGAGGGAGCGTCCAATGAGATTCCTGGAGGGTAAAAGGTCTCCCATGCCTGCTTCGTACAGCCATAATCACAGCATTTCAAGAGATTTTTACATTAAAGCAACACACACAGATTCCTGCTTTTCAGTTGTGGCAAAATGTAGGTCAGAACAGTACAAGAATCCAAAGCAAGAAAACTCTCCAGAAGAAAACATGAAGCATGCAGTTAAAGCACAGTACTGACCCAACCAAGGGCAAAGTGTGGCCAAGGTGCCTTCACATGCAACTATTAGACACACCTTACCTGTCTCTTTAAAACTAGGTGTTTGCCCTTCCAGTACTTGAGCATCTGAAGAGCTTGCAGAGTGCTAACAATGTCGACAGGGTTGACGGCTGTCTCTTGGCTGATCTCTGGAACAGAGCGAAGAAAGAGTCTGTTTTACTAGGGATGCTACCAGATCCATGGGACCAACTACCATAGAGCTCTACCTGTCTCCTGCTAACTCCGCTACAGAGAAGCAGAAGCTTCAGGATCAAGTGTGCCCCATGATCCATGCAAACACAGAACCAAGCATGCTGAGAATTATAGCGGCCAAGGTAGGTTGAAAGCACACTGGCAGGCCTAGCAGGATGGATGGATTGACTGATCGATCAATTTAAAGCCTTTGTATGCAGCCCAATTGTGCCACAGCACCTGCGGCCAGCTCACAATTACAAGATAAAAATACAGTAAGAAACACAATACAAACAAATAGCAACGTATTAAAAATAGGTTAACAATAAAATGCAAGCAGAAATACAAAACAAAGGTCAAATGGCATTAATTATTAAAACAGTCTTTTTAAAGGAAGGTCTTTGCTGGACCCCGAAAAGAAAGCAAGGAAGGCACCAGGCCAATCTCCTTGGGGAGAGCATTCCAAATATGGGGAGCAGCTGCAGAAAAGCCCCTCCTCCAAGCAGCCATCCCTCTCACCTCCTGAAGAGATGGCTCACACAGGAGGGCCCCCTGCATAGGTCTCAAAAGCTGGGCAGGCACATATGGATGCAGGCGCTCCTTAAGATAACTGGGGCCTAAGCTGTTTAGGGCTTTTATATGTCAGCACAAGCACCTTGGATTGGGCCTGGGCCACAACTGGCAATCAACGAAGATCTTTCGGTATACGTGTTGTGGGGGCTGCTCGAGGGGCTCCCATCGCCGACAGAGTGGCCCTGTTCTGTGCCAACTGTAACTGCTGGACTGTCTTCAAGGGCAGCCCCACGTAGAGTGCATTGCAGTCATCTATTTCAGATTTCAGAAGACGGGGGAAATGCTGAACAAGATTTCCAGTGGTCAAGGGTTTAGTGGCCTACATGGCTCCTTGCCCATCCAGAAGGAGTAGCAGAATCAAGCAAATGTCAGCACAGCAGTCATGGGAATATGAAGATACGTCTTTTCATGGATCGGTGACTGATTTAAGTACAGGAAGCAGAGATGAAGGATCAGTGGACAGTTCTTACAAGAGAGGGATGCACTGGGGCTGCTGCTTTCCAACTCATCTGATGGATGACCTGAATCACAGGATGCACAGTGAGGTGCTCACTTTTGTAGATGATGTCAAAACAGTTCGGGGGATAAAACCAACAAAGCATTGTGAAAAGCTCCAGAAAGATCTCTCCAAAATGGGACAATTGGCAGTAATGGGGCAAATGGGGTTCAATATAAAGTGCAAAGTGATGCACATCCTAGCAAGCTGAACTGATGGTGATGGGCTAGGAGAGAGGTCCTGGAGTCCTGTGGAGAGTTCAGTGAAAATACTGACCTAGCATAGTGCAGCTCTGGAAAAGGTGAATTTCATGTTAGTGATCATTTCTGAAAATAAAACTGTCAGTATTGTGACACTTTTATAAACACCCATGTTTTGACTACTGTGTACAGTAAAACACACTCCAAAAAGAGTATTATAGAGCTGGAAAAGGTGCAGAAAAGGACAATCAAAATGATGAATGGGCTGGAGGAACTCTCAAGGAGGAAATGTTCCAATTTTATTTTCAAAAGCCATTTGGATGCTTTACCTCTTTTGGGCAATGGGAGCTTCTCTGAACCTTGTTTTTCTTTGCCATCTTAGAGGATACAACCCACCTTGTCCTTAAGAAGGGAATGCCTCTTCCAAGTGGCACTTGACATCAATAGTTTACAGAAGCATTTCCATTAAAAAAACAAAAAGAAAGAAACCCTGACCATTTGCTGCTTGATTAAACTGGGGGCACCTTGTTTTAAAAATCAAATTCTTTTTTATTCACTAATCTAACTGCTTCAAAATCAGCCGAGCATTGCATATTAGATTGCCCCAAGAGCCTCTCTAGTATGAAAAGTTAGACCGATGGTGTCATCAAGAAGCGCCAAGTCAGCGTTAGTTGTGGCTTCCACTTACAACTTTCCAGCTGTTTGTAGCTCTGAGCCCTGGAGCAAACAAAGGAGAGCCAGACCAAGATCCTCTCAGAGCCTTTGGCATCATTCTGTTTTCCCTCTGCCCACCCTGCCTTTGTCGGTAGTGGAAGACAGGATGGAGAGGGGGAATACTACGCTTCCATTCAGTGGAGCCTGACAGGATCAGGCCTTTACTCCTCCTGTGGGGAAAGAAACAGGTTGGAGTGATGGAAAATGGGTTGCTTCATAACTATTGCACATCAGCATATTTTTAACTCATGCTCCATAATTTCCAGGTTATTTGAAGAATTTTGAATTTGTTGGCAAGTCCTGGGAAAAGGACAGATAAAGGGAGTTGAGGGATGAGAGAGCAGCCATGGAGGATAGACACACAACTTCAGGACTTTAACCACTGGAAGTCCTATTCAGTTCTCCTCTAGCCTCTTAGTTTTGTTTTTTTTAATCCTGTTTCAACCTGTGTTATGTAGGCAGGGCAACCACATTCTGAACATCAAAATAAAACATTATATGGTAAAACTGAAGCAACCAATGCTGCCTGTAGATGGGGTAGGGAGACTATTTTAGCAGCTGCCCAAACTCAGTTACAGCTGTGGGTGAACCTCTAGAAGAGCAGAGTCCCTGTCTTTTGTCCGATTGTACAAAGAAAAACTGCATCAAGCAAGCTTAAAAGTCAAGTCACAGGTCTGTTTAAAACAAGAACGGGTGCCATTTGCTGTTGATGCACTGGGGCAGTGGAATCAGACCCTACCTTTGATGGAGATTTCTTTGCCTTGAAAGTTATGCAGGTAACGCAGAAGAACTTCTTTCCAGTAACTACGGTAGCTAATGAGTCCCAGGTCTGAGAGGGGCCTTTCTGGGGAGCCAACCTTCTCTTCCACTTTGGAGAGTAAATAGCCTGAGGAAGAGAATGAAGCAAATTCTTCAGAGCTCGGTTTAAGCAGCCTCATCTGCTCTCCCTGCCACACCCATATACACTTGGTCAGGCCACTCACTACCACCCAGGGTTTCAGATACCTTTCCTGGGCACTGGAACAACGGAAGGCAAATGTTCTCACAAGTCATTCAGTGCTAGGATTTGGAGCAGTCAAAAATCAGTGCAAGACAGAAACTGGCTGAGTGATCAACATGCTTGCAGAACACTTAAGGCAGCCTTCTTCAGTCAGAGGCCCTCCAAAAGTTTTGGACTACAACTCCAAAACAGCATCCCCCACAACCAGCCTTGCTGGTTGGGGCTAATGGAGCCTACAACATCTAAACGGGGGTACGCTGACTTAAGTAGGGGTAAGTCTATTGATATTTGCTCAATATTGGTGCATGCAAGGAGCTCTGGTTGCTCCCATTATGGCTTGTACTTTCTGTGTTGAGATGTTTGTAAATGAATATGCTGAAAATGAGAGGCAGGTTGTGCAACAAGATGTTGCAGTGCCTTCCACCCGATCAAGGTGCTGCTCCTGGTCATGGCTCAAGACAGACTGAAACAGGAGCTCTTTTAGCGCTGTTCAAGATCGAGGGGAGGGACGAGTTCAGGGGAACAGGATTATGCTCCCAACATCCCTGCTGTGTTTTATAGCACTCGATGGCAGCCAGCCCTGAACCCGAGTATCTTACAGCTATGAGGTGCAGGAGGGCATGCAGCTCTGAAGATGGGAGAGGCACCCTCCACCCTAAAGCCCCTGCCTCAGGCTGCAGGCCCTTCATCACCCCTTGTGCGCAGGGGCGGGAGGTGTTTTCAGCTGACATATGAACATTCCCTGCCTCAAGCTGCCCTCACCCATAGGCCCAACTGCATGAACCTTCACTTCTACTTTCCTTTAGACCCTACCCCTTACACACTGTATAAGCCAGACGAGCCCAACGTGTGTCCCTCTCCACCAATGCCTTGGCCTACAACTCCCATGACCCCTCATCAGTGCTTGAGCAGCCAGAGAGGAGGGGAGCTCTAGCTGGAGGGCTGTAAGGTGCCCACCTGTGATTTAAGTTCATCGGTACCTGCCACGGAGCTTTAAAAGATGTTGAATTCACAAACCTGTGTATGCCAGCTTACCTAGAGCATGCCCTGGGTGTGTGGAAGCTACTACTTATTTTGGGGTGGCTCTAGTTTTAATCTGAATAAGAGGCACCCAAGTTTACTAAGCAGGAAAGCCACTGCCTGTCAACCAGATCGGGATTGCCATGTTTATATGCATCCAGTAGCCTTTAGGACAGGGGTGCAAAACTTGAGGCCCAGGGATCAAATCTAGCCTACTTGCAGTGTCCAGTGGACCAGACTTCCTACTTCTTCTGGCCCCATCCGCTTTCTCCTGAATCATCAACTGTTTTGTGATTTCCCAGATTTCACCCAGGTTTTCTTCTCTAAAAAGCTGAAATGGTTTTGTTAATGCTTACTGACTAGCAGTTAAGAACTTTAACATTAAAATCTGTCAGTATTTGGGATTTTCTGCCCCCCACCCAGCAGGGTAACATGGCTCCTGACAGCTGCCCCAAAATGGATTTTGATCCTAGTGCTAAAAGAGATTCTGCACCCCTTCCTTACGAACTTCAGCACAGCACAATGTAGCAGTATAAAAAACAACAGCACTGCTCAGTTCTATCACGGAGATAACAAGCGTTCTATTTTTGACTGCACTTAGATTCCAGCATCTGGTTGCCACATATTTGTGAGCTACTTTATTAAACACACACACATCTATACTTACTGAAGTCGATAAGCATTTTGCCATAACCTTGCCTCATGTACTGAGGCATTGTCAGAATGCAGGAAACGTTATAGTTGAGGAAGGAGTTCTTTTCCTGGAAGCAAACAGTATAACCATTAAGGGACATGGCAAAAGTCAGATATCTAGCTCACACATATGATTTTTTTAAGCAGATTAAAACAGGAAGCCTATGATCCAATTTCCCCCCACAACTAATTCTACATGTTCAAGAAAGCTATTTGCCTTGCACTTCTCTAATATCTGCATGCCAGCAAAGAAAGCTCTCTGGATCCCAGCCCATAAAGGCAAAACTCAAGTTGGGTGTCATTTGGCTCTGATGGCCATCTCCCAACAAGTCTGCCTGGATGTTGAACACATTTCAAATTATTTGTCATAGAAACTGCAAGAGTGGAAGATAAAGTTATCCATCTTAATGGTAACACCATCCTTCACATCTGCACAGAACACAACACATGTAAGTGGAAGGCAGTTATTTTTCAAGAGCGCATTACATACTGTGAACTCATCAGCCATGCTAACACAGGTACGAACATTCATGTACAGATTGCAATTCTGACAGGACCCATGTCTGGAACAGGCCATCTCGACTAATGTACAGTCTGGATCTGTCAGAGAATAATCTACTCAGCCTGGGCTGAGGGCAAATGTACCCATTTCCTTTCTGGCAAATGATGTTGCACTACATAGACGGGATGAAATACCTCAACCTCTCCTCACCCAGTTTCACGACTATGCTGTGCAGCAGTCAGAGTTCTTTCCAGGCCCCACAGTTTTTAAAAAACTGTTCAATGGCAATCCACAGAGAGAAACACACAGCATGGACTAGTCAGTGGTCCTGAGCACAATTACCAAGAAACCTTCAGGGACAAGGAACAGCATGATACGTGGGGAAAATTATTCTTGTGCTCATGACTGTATTGAGAAAAACTCCTCAAAAGGAATGCTGCAATAAGCTGCTCATCTGCATGAACAACAAGGTTTCACAACTGCCTCCGCAAGAAAACCAAACGAGTTCAGTCTGGGGTTTGTCAGCTGAAGAAGCCAGCTGGGTGGTGGGAGGAGGCAGCTGCTTTCCCTCTCACATCTATGCCCTTCATCCCTTGCATGCTTCTCTTCAAGCTCTTTCTGGTGCTCAGCTCACTCGACTTGTTTTCGGCGCCGGAGCCCAGTGCAGCACGGGTGGCAAACAAACCAGAGCCGCATCCTCTTGAAGCACTGCCGCAGTACTCATGTTGAGCATGTGTGTCATGGCAAATTGTCAAGAAGTGCTACTTAGGCAGCGAGGCAAGAGCTCTCAATTTCTGTAAAAACCCAGACACAATTGACTACGCCAGACTTTGCGGAGACCTTGAATTTTCCATGCGAGGGAAAAGATGGGCAACAAAGAACATTGTGTGCAGTTGAAGGAGTCATCATGATCTCGCAGTCACGACTGGAAAGCAAAGAAGCATCTTGAGACAGACCGTTACACTTTGCAGCAGGTCTGTGCACTTGGAAGCAGCAGCAGCAGCCTTCCATTTTCCAAACAGGAGGAAACAGTCGCACTGGCAATGTACCTTTGGTCTAGGAGTCTTGCCTGTCAATACTGTGCCTGTTCAAGATCATGTGTGTTCTCAATGCTGCTTACATGCTGAAGAATAGTAGTTGCTGGCTCTGCCCCCCCCCCCTTTTCCTGCCTTAGCCCTAGTCTTGAGCCTTGAGGAGGGAGGGAGGGAGGGAGGGAGGGAGGATTCAAAACACCCTGCTGCCCTGTCTACTACTCAACCCTTGCCTTTTTCTACCTGGGGAGATAACCCCGGCCCGTGCTGAGTTTGTCTGTACCTTTGAACTCTAGGCTTGCTTGCCCCTGTAAATTAGATTGCCTGAACCAGCTCTTTGCCCTGCTTTTGAACCATCCCAGAGAAGTGCAGGGCTTGACTAAGTCATCCTCCCACTGTCAGGCTCAAAGCAAGGCCAGTCACCATGCGCCCATTTGGCTTGATGCACAAACAACGGAGAAAGCCCTGCCTGTGCAGTAGACCTCAAGCAGCATTCCTAACCTTGGAAAAATAGCCAATCAAGTGGCAGCCAGTGTTGTCCGCTTCTGTCATGACGTAGAAGAGAAAGGGCTCAACGTCGTAATACAGAGTCTTGTGGTCCAAGAAGAGCTTTGCCAGGAGGCACAGGTTCTGGCAGTAGATCTAGAAGGATCAGAGGTAGTATTAAGCCACTTGTGCATCCCAAGATTGGGAGGTGGGAGTAGCAGCCTCAAAACTCTTGTTGCAAGGCCAAACCACCACAAACTATCCTACAAAAATAGTGAACCACCAAGAGAGGACTCCCATGCAGTAGCACAATGCAGTTTGCTCCAGATGGTTCAAATAGTGAAGCCAAGTCATAAATTAAGCTAACCCCACAACCTGCATTTCTTAATAACAAAGGAGACTGCTGCCCCTTACTTTGCAACCTGTGAAAAATGGAAAGCAAACATCAGAAAAGACCAGCATAAAGAACTGAAATGGAACATTCAAATCTAACCTTTCCAAAGCATACATTTGAACACACACTGGCTATTTAGGATAGCCTTCGCCAACTCTGTGCCTTCCAGACACAGCTGGACTGTAAGACCCAGAATTCCCAGTCAATGGCCCTGCTGGATGGGAATTCTGGGAGTTGTGGTTCAAATGCCTTTGAGGGCCCCCAGGGTGGGGAAGACTGATTTTGGATGCTAACACTGGTATATCTGTTCCTATTTTAATGCTTTTGTGATCGTATTTATATCCTGCCTTTTTGCCACTTGCAAGAAACCAAAGGTGGCTATCACAGTGTAATGACTATACCACAAGACGTCCATCAGAGCTCATAGCTTTGCAACAGAGTACTGGGTTTATATAATAACTGTAAATACAACCCCAGAAATCAGAAATACACATGGTACAAAGGTTAAACGAGAGTTAGCACGCATTGGGCTAGAAAGTTAGACTAGAACTTGGGAGATCTGGACCCTCGTTTCTACTCAGCCAATGAAACTCATTGGGTGACTGTGGGCCAGTCACAGATTCTCTATCTAACTGACCTCACAGGACTATTATGAGGATAAAAGGAAGAGGAGAGAGACAATGCAAGCTGCCTTGGGATCCTTGAAGGAAAAAAGGTGAAAGTGGAAGGATGGATAGAAGACATGCTTGGGAGAGAGGAATCACAGATTCAAGCCAGCAACAAGAGAATACCATTTTTTGCACGCTTCCTCGGCAAACTCCTTCCAATTTGACAGCAGCCCAGCATGGGAAATGTTAGAGCAGCACTCTTCCAGCTGGGAACTAGTTATTTTACTTTCAGAGAAGCATTTACAAGAATAATTCCCCACCGGCAGCATGAAGCTGTATGAACACATTCGCCCCTTTCTGGACTCTGCTCCTTTGTGCTGCTGCATGTATAGATCCAACATTTGAGAAAGCAGAATGCATGTGGATTCCAAAGCCAAGCAGAGCACAGGAGAGGTAGATGGAAAGATGAGGAAACAGCTGATGGGAGGGAAAAGACCTTGTAGGGCTGAAGTCCAGAAAAGCTACAACACAGGTGGGCATCCTCAAGTGTGAGTCCCAACATGACCCTCTTGGGGTTTCTGGGGTTACAGTTCTTTCCCCCAGTCACTGATTGTTGGGTGGCTTCTTGGCTTTTCTGCACTCAGCCTACCCCAATTCTAAAAGGTTGAAAGGCTGCTTCTAAGGTTTAGCTACTGGCAATAAGAGCTTTAAGCTACAATAGGCTGGTATCTTTTAGACCTTTGACCCCAGCCATACCCCTTTGGCTTCACCACTGGAATGTGGCCCCAAGGACTTCTTTCAAGCAGAATCTGGCCCCCGAGCTCAGGGCCGAGAAATCTCTTTCAGCTCAAAAAGCCCCTGAAGAATGCCTTCTGGGAAGAATGCCTTCTGGGAAGGCTCTCAAGCAGTCATCCCCAAAATGGGATTTGGACAGCAGAAAACGCTCCAGGAAACCACCCTCGCTCACCTTCAAGGAGCCTGTTTCAACCCTGTTAGTCCAAATCTGCCTCTTTGAACCCATATTCCAGTTGAAAAGGAGAATAGGTTGCATAGCTGAGCAGAATTATATTGGGGACATGGCTGAGTTCTCTAAGCTGGATTACTGAAGTCTAATGTCACTAAAAGGCAAGGGCCTTCCCAAGTTGATGCCCTCTAGGTGTTTTGGACTACAGCTCATGGCCATCCCAGCCAGTTTGGCCAAAGGTTAGGGAAAATGGGGAAAGATCCAAACAGCTTCAGGCTAGGAAAGGATTAGACCAATATTGCAACCTTGAGATTTTTCAGAGCTAGGCAAGAGAGAATGGCAAAATGCTTCCAAGCCCAGCCACCTGAATTGCCTCCTGAAAAGGCAATGCATTGGACAAGTTTTCTTCCTAGCTGTCAACTCCAGATAAAGATATTACCTTGTTCTTTTTCCCATCTACTTCAAACACCGAAATGGAGCCTTTGCGGTAAATCTCATCACCTGGAGGGTGCTTCCAGACACATTTTGCCTATGGGGAACAAAGAGACAAATGCTACAATGAAAACAGCTTACCAAATGTAACAAGCGACTTTGGAAACATGGAGAAGCAAGAAAGAATTGAAAGAGGAAGGAAAGGTTATTGGACAGTGGATACAATCAAGTTACAGCAGAAGCAATGACACCTTTTCTGCTCTGTGATGCTGAGTGACAAAGTGCCCTTTCAGCATGGGGCAAGAACAGCCAATCTATCAAGATGGGTACAGATCAAATATTATTAGCTGCCCACAGCAAGTTCTGTTCCTGTACTAGACAACAATCCAGTCATGTTTTTCTTCCAAATTTAATAAGCCTTCTTTCTCATAAAGTTTTTATATATTTCCCAGAATCCTTCACAGTCATACCATCATCTAGTTGGCATTATATGGGCCTTTCAGTAGCAAGGATTTGTTTGCCTTCTGATTAGAATAAAACAGGTCTGTTATTGGCCCCCACCCCTGGCCCACAAGCAAACAGACCAATCCCTCGGTTAGAGGGGGCAGAAGGCAGCTGTGATCGACAAGGGTGATGAGGCAAGTCGTGCCCACCTCAGAAAGTTGGCCTGGGATTGGCCTGTCTTGAAAACAACCTGGTGCCCTCCAGTCACACATGGCTGCCTGGGGGTTGCTGGGAGTTGTAGTCCAACGTGGCTGAAGGGTACCAAATTAGGGAAAGCCAGTCAAGACTGTGCAGTGCCCACCTGAATGGAAGATGGAAGGGGCAAGGTTTGGCGACGAGGCCTCTCAAGGCAAAGGAAAAGTAGCTTTCTTCCAAGACTAGTTGGGGATGATGGGGACTGCAGCCTGAGGCATCTGGAGGGCAACTGAGTGAGGAAGGCTGCAGTAACAAAACAGCAGCTCAGGGAGGAGGGATGGGGTTATTCACTGAGGTTGCATGCTTATACAAGTACAGATCTGCATCTGAATCACGACCGAACAGGGAACCTAACATCAAACCAAAACAATGCCAGTTGACTCGGATAACTGTAGAGTGTTTGGGTCATAGGCAACCAATTCATATGACCACCAGGCACAAAGTCAAAACCATTCACAGGCAATATAGGGACAACTGATAGGTTCACTCCCACAGTGGGAAAAATGCTTGGCAATCAAACATCCCCTCCAAGGCGCTGCTGCTTCACTCTGAATAAACCATCCATAGCTGTCACAGTGGCAGTCACAAAAAGCAGCTTCACACCAGCTTTCACAATCTGAAGGGAAACATGTTAAAAGTATAAAAGCTGTAGTAAGCCCAAAATGGTTCTTGATTGTGATAAGTGGGAAGTTCGGGCTAGTTGCCCACAAATGCCACTTGGGCACTTCTGGACCAGCTGACAGTGGCAGGTATCCAGGCACAACTGGCAAGAGCAGCAAGGGGGCTTTACTGCTCCTGCCAAGTAAGCTGACAGCTGATCACCACAATGGGGTTGGGTCAGGATAACACAACAGCCCACCATAGGTATGACAGCCAAGAACAGTCCACAGGTTGTCAGGATGGCTTGCTGCCCCCACACAAGCCATCTTGCAGGGACTGGTCTGGATTCACATGACACGACAACCCATTGTGGATAGCAATTTCACAATTGATTGTTGTATCATGTGAACCCAGTCAATGGGGATGCCCAAACACTATAAATGTTTCCTTTCCTTTTCTGAAAACAGGAGGAAGAGTTGAATGGCTTCAACTTACAATATTTTGTTGAGTTTCTGGGAAGTTACATCAAAAGGGTTCTTTGGTGCCTTCCAGAGAATGTCACATGCACACAGTCCCACTGAAATCAATGGAAAGTCTTTCAATAGTCCCAAATCCCCTGGCCTCAACACAATTTGAAACTGGCTAGACTGCACTCCTAGGGTCTAAACTTTAAGCTCTTTCTATCGCCTTCCAACAACCGAGGGAATTCTGGAAAGATGCGACAAAGAAAATGAAGCTTTTTTTATGTCATAAATTTATTTCGCAAGACAGTGAAAATTGCCTTGAGATATATGGCATTAGGGGAATAAAGACCTGCCTCAGCTAGTTTGGCTTATAGGTGAGGTGTAAATTATAAATTCTTCACTAAAACGAAGAACAAAGGAGGAAGATTTTTACCAAGCATTAAAGTAAGCCTGGGGAATGTAGGTCACCTTCTTTTCCTTTAGATGTTGCCAGGCTCATATGAAAGGCACATGCTTCTAGTCCATAAGGGATTATATAGAGGTGGGGCATTGAATCTCTTGCACTCAAGGGGCAAATTCAATTTTGAAGAAGTTTTGGGATCCTTATTCCAGTGATGGGTTGAGCCCACAGGAAGGAGTAAACAGATGCAAACAACTTGTGCTCAACTGCCACAATTCCTCATCACCTCCTGGGGAGTACTTTTTTGACAGTTAAGAAGCAATTAAAATCTTAAGAAACTGCATGGGACACAGCCCTTCTGGGACTGCACCCCTTCAGATGCGGGGGCGGCGGGGTTGCTAATCGGAGTGCTTCCCCATATAAACAAACTCCTTGCACACAGACCTCTAGCCCATCAAGGAGAAAAGTTAATGTCTAGCATCCTTGCTGAGATGCTGGCTTTCTTTGTTCAGGCAAGTTGTATGTTGTTTTTAACAAATGGTGGGGAGAGATTTCAAAACATGCAGCCTGGTAGGCTGCAGTCCAGAATGGCTGTACTTAGTGCTATTTTTACAATGAGAGAAAATGTGTGCCCCTGGAGAAATCTGTGATACAGCTAACAAATATTTACTGTGTGATTAAGGGTGCAACCTGTAGTATGTTTAGACTGAAAAAAGTTTTACAGCTCCCCGGCTGGGGCTGTAAAACAATGCATGGGATTGTGCCCTTTTTGTCCCATAAGATGCTAATTTAGGGGCTTACCATGTGCCTGCGTAGTATAGTTTGACTCTTCATGTATTTGAGGCAGAACTCACACATGTAGAGGCGCCCTAGCCGCGCATACTCCTCTGGGTAGGGAGAATGGTACCAGGTGTCCAGCTCATAGCGGCCAAAAGCAATTGTCTTGATCATGTTGCTGCCTTCCGTGATTTGGCCCTGAAGTCGCAGTTTCTCCTATTGAGAGCAAAGAGAAACTAGTATTTTGTGTTGGTTTTCAAAAGGCTTAACAGAAATAGGCAGAAATGTCTTGAAATCATATCCCCAAAACCTCTGCAGAATAATAAGCTATCCTCAAAAAGAGCAGAACCTTACATCCTGTATAAGTGACACTGGAACCTGTATATTCTGCTGCTTCATCTGTATCATTAATCCATGAGTAAGAGGAACAGCAAAGAGTTATAAAAGATGTAATTGTTATAGTCTGATGATTGGAAATATTAGTTGTCACATGTATAACTGGATTTTTTATTTTTAGCCTTAAGGCCAAGAACCTAACTTTTTTAAATAAAAAAGAAAATTATATTCTTAGGAAGCAGAGTTCTACAACTTGTAAAATGCAGCATCAATCACCTAGGATTTCATCAGGCCTAAGTTAGCTGCACTTCATTCCCACTGAAATCACTTGCATTTGTCCTGCTGATTTCAATGAAGCCCAAGTTCAACTTACAGCAGAAACTGATACATGTCTACTCAGATGTCCACCTGACTAAATTTACTCCCACATACAAGATTGCAGCTGAGATCAGCCCAGATCCAACTCCACTGGGTGCAAAGCTGTCCACTACAGCATATGTGGCCAGAGTGTAGAGCTCCAGCCGTTTTGGACTTCACCTCCCAGAAGCCCTTGCTGGGTTAACCAATGCTGAAAAATGCTGGGAGCTGAGGTCCAAGCATCTGGAGATCTACTTTCTCTTCACCCTATATTAGCCAACAGATGCAGTCTCTGCCTTCCCTAATCCTCCCCAGCCAGTTGCCTGACACCCCTTTGGAATACAGCTGTGGTAAACAAAAATTACGCAAACCAACGAAGTTTTAAAATCTTCTCAAAGGTTGCATAACCTCTCCCATTACCGCACCACACATGCAAAGGTTCTACAGCTTTAGTTTTTCTGATGATAAAAGACAAGCATTCAAATATCTGGCTTGTACAACATGACAAACCGTTATGGGCTAATTTACTAGGCCAGGCTGCCTTACTGTACTGGGCAAACCCAGGTAGCAAGGGTTATCTGAGGGTTAGTCACCCTTCAACTAACCATGACTAGTTTTAGGGGTTATTTGAGAGTTGTTTAACCCTCAAACAACCTATGCCTTCCTGCATTGCATGATAGACAAGTCATGTCAAACAGCTTCTGAAGATATATTAATCCATGTGCAAACAAGCACTTGGAGTTATTTTCTGCTTCTTTTCAGGCATCATCTGGTTTCTCTGTGTCACAACCAGGGTGCCCTGTGTGGGTGGGCCTCATTCATGCCATTCGCCTGAGCAGCACGAATGAGAGGTACAGGGGATTATGAAGGGAGAAGAGTACAGCAAAAGCTACCAGCAGCACCTGGGCTTCATGAGCTTTGAACATGCCTTAGTACTCACTAAAAAATACCTGAAGGAAGACACTGGTGCTTCCATTTAATTACCAAGCCTCACTACAAAGAAGCTACTCTCCCCACATACTTCCCAAAGAGAGAAAAGGGGTAATGGTGGCATGGGGGTAAGTAAAAATGGCATTCATTATTCTTTTCATATTTTTGCTGAGGGAGAGGAACAGAGCGGTAGGAAGGGAGGAAGCAGGAGGTAAATTATGATCCCCTGGCAGGATGGTGGTTAATCTGATGCACTGTGAAGCTCTGATCACAGTTAGCCGTTGGGGACAGGAAATCTGGCAGGGCAGCAGCCCAGGAAAAATGCTCCCTCCCCAAGACATGAATGATGCAGAAGGGTTGGGGGAAAGAGCACATGTTTTGGCTATATTTCCGATGAAATGTGCTACAGATCTAAAGAAATTGTCCACCATTAACTCAGTGCCTCATTGCTACCAAAACAGGGGGCATCAGCCCTTCCTTGCATCTGGCTGAATGAAAGGACCAATATTATAGGTCTCCTTTTGAAACAGAATTGTGTAAGCTATGGTCCACTCTGAAGAACACCCCAAGATAAAGCAATGGTTAATTCTTCACTGCAGTGTAACTTGTCCTTTTAAAAATAATTTGAACCACTCCATTTGCTTGATTTATGTTCCTGGGAACTCTCTCATATCTTTCCATGAAACATGGACCTGAAGGGGCACTTCACAAGAAAAGCATCAAATGAGCTGTGATAATGGGCAGAGAAATCAAGGGATCCACCCTGCACCTCTGGCAATAGCTTTCAGAAGTCTGACTCATCCCGATGTTGCCAAGAGCCAAACACGGCAAGGTGAGGTGAAGAGGCAGATTCCAAGTGGACCTGTTGCCACTTGTGCGAAAGGACATTTCTCAAAATGAAGCCGCTTCTGGACCTACTTGATCTCCCCGTGCTTTTCAGCAGATGCACTTGGGGAATAACTCCCTTCTCTACCCGAAGAACACAGACTGGCTCAGACACAAGGCGGATATGCATCATCCATTAGGCAGCACTGAAAATAAACTACATAGGGCGAGAAATGCACCCAACAGACTATCAGACTCATTCACTGTCCTCCCCTTCCTTCCCCGCTTGGTCTTCCAGCCAGTATCCCAGTGTCCTCTTGTCTTCTCCTCCCCACTCCAACTGCTACTCCTTCTTGTTCTGCCACTTTGCCACTTCAGAGCCTTAGAATGAGCAACTGGGGATGCATTTTTCTAACAAAAGTTGGCTCCAGGAATTTGCACAATTGCATTTCTAATTGTTTAGTCTGGATTTTTGTTGGACTTGCATAAGTGTGCTTGTTCAGCTGTCTAATATGTGTAGCCTTAGAAGCTTCATTTCAACATTTAAAAATGAGATCATATGGCCAAAGGGGAGATATTGGTCCCAGTCCTTTTGGTGCACTAACTTTTTGCCATTTCCACCCATTTAGGTACTTTTCAACTGACAGCTCGGCAAATGGACCCTGGGAAGAACATGCAAATTAGCCTATATGTGGTCTGTGTCAGTTACCCAACTGCTGTTCATTTTGACGGCTGAAACATAATAGGAAATTGACCAGATATGGGTTCAGATATCAGACAGTGGTAACAGAGCACTTGCTAGACTCAACAAAAATATTAAAAATTACCAGCACATTTGTGCAATTTCCTCAGACTGAAAAAAGGGTGGTGAGAAAGTGTCAGTGCTCCAAAGTGCTCCTTGGTCACTGGGAGGCAGGGGAGGGTTGTCACTGGTGGTGACAAGGACAAAATTGCAAAGTGCTGCGGGGGTGGGGGTGTCATTCTTGCCAGGAGGCTCACTAGCAGATTCCCACAACTCATGATGAAATTGTTTTCCTAGGTTTACATGACAGGACAGAACGTAATAGACCAAACAACTGGGGACTTTAAGTATTTGGTGCCATATAAATGGAAATATAAATAAATATGAAAAAAACAAGTCTTATGTTGCCAGAGTAGTTTATTGCTGAAAAATAAGTCATCCTGTGGGAAGCAGTTTGGGTTCAGACAATTTGACAAGCTACCATGGCGTAGTTACCCATGATGGGCTGTCATGTCATCTGAACTAGAGCATAGTGTGGCTGGATACATCTTGGCTGCACAAGCTAATACTATCTTTCCCTCTGTTTTCGTTGGGTAGCTTCTGCCTGTGGTTTAAAAAAAAACCTTAAAAGCAACCTGGTCTCCTCTGAGCAGAGAAGGGGCAGGTCAAGAGAGGCTAAAAAACACTGTGCTTTGACCTTATCTCCATTCCAAACTTCCCCTGGAAATGACTTTATTTTTATTTGGGGGGTTGGGGTGTCCATGCTATACTGCAGGTGAAAAGAGATCTTTAGAGTATGATTTGACCTGAAAAAAGACTGGAAAGATGGAAGGAAAGGGGTGCAGTTTCCTACTTGTGCTTATTCTTCCCAAACAACACTTGTCCTGGGTTGCTTTGAGTTTATAAAAGTAAAAGCAAAGCAAAAACAATTTCAAAGAATCACGCAACTTGGCTCAAGCCTCAGGCAATCTAAAACCTGTGTCTCCAGCTCTGCACTCATGTTTAGAAGTCTGCCATTTTCCCTGTATGGAAAAAAATCCCCCCCTGGAAGGCCCTTTGGCAGAACCTGTATCTCTGGAGTGCACCTGTCATCAAGTTGACACACTGGTCCCCTGTCTGACTATAGTGGTACTCAGTTTCCATTGGCAGGCTTTGTTTTGTTTTTTTTAAGATACACACAAGTTGCTTCACTTTCAAAACTTTCCCACAGATTGAAGAGTCCAATTTTACCTGCCGCTCTGCTATGATTTTTGTATGTCCTTTGTTTGCACTCTTTAAATAATGGCTTTGGCCCAGCCTCTGTCTTCTGTGGACAGAAAGGTCTGTTCATACAAGAGTCTCCTTTCCCCACAGCCCATGTCATTCCCTGCAACCCTCTTTCACACAATTTTAGAAGGCTAGAGGACTTGCCATGCAGGAGGTGGAGCAGAAGACTGCTTCTGCTGGCCCGTTTTCATCCGCATATATCTAAGTGGCTTTCTACAGTATAAACACACTGTTTTGTTGAAAGCTGCAGGTATGTTACTTGGACTATCGAACAAATCTGAAAAGGACTGATGTATTTCCAAATAAATAAGTCTACCATGTGACATTTGTCACAATTCTTTAGAGGCATTAGACTCCTCACAAGACTCTCCCCTGGTATAATTTGCCACAAAACCACTCAAACTCATTCGCAGTTGGAATAGCAAAGTCTCTTATACCTGCTAGTCCCCAGCCCAAAGAAAAGAGAACTCTCTCAAGTAATCCAGTGAAGGGGCTGCAGTGGACACACCCAACAAAGGACCCAAAGAGCAGGCTGTGGCACTATGAAGCTGAGGGTCTGGGCATGAACTTGAACAAACCCAGAGCCACTCATCTTGGTCAAGGACATGCCAGATAGAGGCCCCAGCTTTCCAAGTACTGGTGCGCTGCACCTCCAAGAGTCTCTTATTGCTCTATTTATAAGCTGTCCGAAAATATTTCTATTGCAGGGAAACACCTGGCTTGCAGATCCAGGGCTAGCAATCCAGGAATGTGTGACACCATGCAGAAGTGAGCAACCTAAGCTCCTGACCACTCACCACTTCTGCCTCACAGTGGTTTTCTGAAACACCGAGGAACATGGAGTGTTCTTGTGACATTTCAACCCAACAAATGTGGAAGGTCAAGCAACTCAGAGTTTTAATCCAACAACAAACTGTCGTTTCCTGAGCAGAAAGTACAAGCAGGCATGCTCCAAAACAACCCTCAGGTTGCTAACCAGGGGTTGCCTGATCATGCAAACCAGGCCATACATTGGTAGTACTCTCCCTGTAGCCAGTAACAGCAGCCCTTCTCTAATTCCTCAGGATTAGCTGCTCTGAGGTTCCCCTGAGACAGGCCATGCTAGTAAAAGCAAGAGAAGCACTTGCTTGCAGCACTCACACGTGCCCTCACTCCTCGCTCTTGCTCTCTCTCTCTCGCGCGCACACACACGCAAACTTTAAAAGCTGGGGTCAAGAGTTCTGATGCTCCTGAAACAGGAAAATGGAACCCACTCAAGAGCTCAGTATATTGAACAGATGTGTAATAGCATGAACTTAAGACAAAAACTGCATTCTCTTCAAGTGCTTCATCCTCATGACAGCACAGGAAAATTCAGAATCATGCCACCCAAAGAGTCCAGCTGTCAAAACTTGGGCTCAGTTCTAAACATTGACCTAGTTTATGTGATCATCACTGTGGGTTGCCTAAATGGTAGCACATACTGGTGTATGCTGAGAGCCCTTTGGCAAATTACTTGACCAGGCACAGCTTGGTGTGCTGTCTGAACCAAGTTGGCATAGCTTGTTGGAGGAGAAAACAACCTTCAAATTAGTTAGGAAAATGGCAGCCAGCACATACTATGGCTTAAGCAAGTTACCATGGCTTTTTTAAGCCGCCATGATCATGCAAACTGGGCCAGTGTCTTTCTCAACTCTCAAGTCTATGCATACCCAGACACCAAAAGAAACCCAGCTACCATTAGCAGCAGGCATTCTAGTCATGGCTGGAAGCTCTACACCCTGCTGGGCTTTCCATGTCTCTTCCATGGATTTTGCTTCCACCCTTTCCTGCCCTCCCCATGCAGCTACCCCTAAGTGAAGAAAGCTACCTGCAAAATGCCTCCAGTAGCAGCTGACCTGGATTTACTATTATACTATTTTTTACCCCTCTGTGCCATGTGTAACTTAAGACAGTGGAGGCCTCTGAGGGCAGGAACTCATCTATTTTTATGGAACTGTTGCTGACTACCACAGAAGGTAGTTCTACAGATATTTTGGACTTCAACTCCCAGAAGCCCTGCGAGCAAGGCCAATGGTTTAGGAATTCAGGAAGCTGTAGTCCAATCTATCTGGAGATCCTCCTGTTCCCCACACCTGCTCCAGTCTATTAAGACAAGGCAAATACAAAACATTCATCAACCCTCCTTCTTCACTCCCTTCCTCTAGCCCTTATGTATTTAATTCTGACAAAATCCAGCAATTCATGCTTCTCTTAATAGCACAACTGGGTTTGAAAGCTGGCCTCAAGGAGTATGCACACATCTCACCAAATCCAAACTAACTTACCAGGTCCTCAGAGGCTCTTGCTTGTGCACGTCGGAATAGCTCAAGGTCGTATTCACTGGTCAGGTTCTCTAAAAGAGGCTCTCTGGTGTTGCCATAGGTTTGCCTGTGTTCCTGACGCAACAACAGAAGACTTTTTTAAAAAAATGAACTAGCCTTAGAGAGATGCATCTCCCCAGCGTGAACCATCCCCTGCCCCTTTTTGCTGGCCACAGAAACACTGGCAAATACTGCTTTAACCAAAGTATAAGTTTAGTTTTGTGAGATGGGGGGCTCGCATGCAGTCCATGGATAGGAAGAGCTGAGTCCTGCAGAAGAGGAGGGAATTATAAAAGAGATGAAGAGAAACGGATGTTACTGTTTGGTTTTGAGCACCACACCCTAAGAAGGACGGTGACAAACTGGAACATGTTCAGAGGAAGAGAATGAAGATGGTCAGTAATGTGGAAAAGAAGTAGCTTGAGAAAAGTTTGAAGGAACTTTAGCTTAAGAAGTCTGAAAGAAGACATGATAGCATTCTTCAAAAGCTTGCAGGCTGTCACATGGGGCAGGACTAAACCTGACAGGCTTAAGTTACAGAAGAGTAGATTCAACTTGAATATCAGGAGCAACTTCTCAGGGGGAAAGTCTGACAATGCAACAAAGGACCCAAGGGAGAGTGAGCTCTCCCTCCCTGGGAGTTTTCAGGGCAGAGGCTGGAGAAACATCTCCTGTGAGTGTTCTACCTCCAGATTTTATGAATTGAGCAGGGAGTTGGGTGTGAAGGCTCCTCTGACCTCTGATCTCACACCGGACCCAAGGACAGGAAGGCCTGAGTGCCATGCATGTAAAGGGATGAGAAGTAGTGAGGCTGGAATTCACATGCCAATTCAGATTAACTAGACTTAAGGCTTTAACTCAGCTTCCCAGCTCCTTTTGAGTTCTGAATCACTGTTTTGCCCATCCCAAAACCTTGGGACTGGATGCAGTGAGAAATTAAATCATGCCCCTTGCAGATACAATGTGGATGACACCTTACAAAGCCATGACATTAAGGGATGTCCCAGAGAGGGTAAAGAAAGAAGTTTCCATACCATGTATTTTTCCTTCTGCTCCTTGGTCAGCCCTGCATTCCTCTTTTTCCTCATCTCTGCTACTTTCTCTTTGTACCTCAACTGTCTCTCAGTTGGTGCCTATGTAGAGGATAAAAGACAGAGAATTAATACAGAAAATCTGAGCCAGTTCAAACCTAGAGTCCCTTCCAACACAAAGCAGGGCAACTAGACTGAAAAGTACTTATTTATTTATATTGCGATTTATATCCTGCCTTTTTCCTACAAAGGGCTCAAGGCAGCTTCTCCTCCATCTTGCCCCCACAACAACAACCACCCTGTGGGGTAGGCTGGGCTGAGAGCCTGCGACTGGCCCCAAGCCACCCAGCTGGCTCCATGGCCGAGCGGGGGCGGAGCCCGGGTCGCCTGAGTCCCAGTCCCGCGCTCTCGACCACGACACCACCCTGGCTCTCAGTACGGAAAAGTACTTCACCCTTTCCCTGCAGGGAATGGCAGATGCATGATGTGGCACGAAAGTTTACTCGAGATAAAGATTTGGACGCTCACGCGTGCAGTGACAAACTGTATATTGTACTAATGGAATGGATTCTTGTACTGCGTTTCGAACACAACAGGCTACATTCTTCTTACACACACACAAAACCGGGTTTTTAACATGGAACCCTTTAGTGTCTGCTTGTCTGGAAGTCCTCCAATGGGCATTCAGGGCTCCTCCAAAACATATCTATGCCCTGCAATACCGACCAGCCACTGCAAGCTGCAGTAACAAAATGATCCTGAGCATAGCGCAACATTCCAGGATGGCAAAACAGGATGAAATTCAGCAGTGCTGCACTGGCTGGCTTCACACAAAACATCCATCCATGGAATGGGCAGTTTAATTATGAGTTGTCATGATGCGTGAACCTGCCCATGTTAACAAACCATGTTTTGTTAATCATTAACAATAGAAAAATGAGACATATGGCTGTTATTGAGTTGCAAACTCTTGGGCTTTTTCGAACATTGGTTGTACGTTGGTTGATTTGCCTGTCTATGGGGACAGTAATGCAGCAAGAGAAGGCATCAGGAAGGAAATGAGCAAAGAAGCAAAACTCAGAGGCGTTAGAGGCGGAGGAGTCGTTAGCACGAGTAAGAGAGAGAGAAGCTCCCAGTGAGAGTCAGGCTTTAGAGCAAGAAGATTTCTACTTGGTGCCCATAGCACAAATGCCCCCTCCCCCCACCTGACTCTGACGAAGGTTTTGTCCAGCCTGCAGAAATTGCTGAGCAGACCGTGGGACAGCCTGTTGCCATGCAGAATGCCCAGCTGAGGAGAAGACTTCGGCGTCTGAGCCAATTAGAAGAGAGACAAAGTCAAAGAAGGACGGAAAGGAGTTTATCTAACCCTTGTGGGGAGGGGCGTTCGCGTCGGGTTAAGAGTGCATCATAAATCTGAGATAGGTCAGAAAGGAGGGGGCAACCATGTTGCTTAGAACTACCATTAATAGCTCCTGTACTATTAATCGCCTGTGTATCTTTGAAGTTGTTTAGAATAAAAGGCTTTAAACTTTCATTGCCTGTATCTGGGTGAATAATTAGGAAGAGTGCTCTGGCCTCACGACATGAGAAAACAAACTGTGGGGAGGGCAAATCCCGGGCAGAGCATGAGTTAAATCCTGGATTAACCATGGGCTAAATAGCCATGTGTTGATGTTATGTGCAGTCCATGTCCCTAAATCTTCTTCAGTGCATTTCTTCCCAGTTCAGCTCTACATCATCAAACTAGGAGCCCAGTCTGCATTGGACTGTGCTAGGAAGAAAGACTATTCATATGTACATACTCATCACACATGCAAATCATCACTGCTGAAGACAGCAAATGGAGAATAGGGAAACCCTTCACCATCCTCCAGTGGCATATCATATGATCATGATGAGAAAGTTGTAAATTTGAGTTATAATGAAACAAATATATATACTTTAAGTATATAATACACACGTATTCTCATTTCTTGAAGAAAGCAACTTTTAAAACTGAATGTAAACTGCTCAGAAAAGTGTCCAGTTGGATGAAAGTCTACATACATTCAGAATGAATTATTTCTGGATGGTCTTTCAGGTAAGTCTGAAACATAATGATCAGTGGAAACAGACAGCCCTAGCATTTCAGTCAATGGAATATCTTAAAATAAGAAGCCTACCTGATGTCTGGTAGCATGTCTATTGTTGTCATCCTGCCGGTGAGACAGCATCCTCTCCTCAACTTGTTTGTCCCGACTCTGTGCTCTCACCTGGAAATCCAGAGAGAGAGAGAGATCATATCAATCTGCCCATCCCTTTACCATGTGAATTCTCGTTTTAATCACCTAAACACAATCCAGGTAAGGGTCACCATTTCTGGGAGCTAAAGCATTGCTGGCCTTGAACCTGGGCATCTCTGGAATTTGCAGACAGGAAGGGTATTGCTATGGGTCACAGAGTCTCAACCCAGAACTGACTGAGCAGGGCATGATCTTTACCCAGTGCTCAACTTCCTGTGTAAGTCACACTGCTTGAACCAAGAATCTTCAGCACGTGATCCCAAACGTAATGTTGCAAAGCCAGCAGAAAGGGAAAAATACTTTGGTGCATTTTTAAATAGCATGAATGGCATCTTCCTTAGCTGACCTCTTGCAGAATTCAATGGGAACATTTTCTAGGACTGACTGTGATAAAACTTCACCTCCACCGAGAAACATGAGCACAAGACAATTCACCAGAAGTGGGCCTTGTGTACTATATTCAACAGTCAGCGAGACAAGCCTGGAGACACAGGAGGAACCTGGATGTCCTGGGGCTACAGAATGGAAGGGGGCAGCATTCTAGCCTCTGGCATCAGTCAGTGTTGAAGAGTCTCTAGGTCACTATCCCTTCCCTACCCTCCCGGAAATAATACTGCAGCGAGGGGATGACCAGTCCAGCCTGTTCCACTGACTAGAGAAGGAGAAGCCACAGTGCTTGCTTCTGCCTTTCTTGTTGGAAAAGGCATTCCCAATGGAAGGGAAACACCAAAAGAGGCTTGCTGCTAGGTGAAAGGCCCATGCAGCACTCTTTGCTGGCTCAGAGCTGCCCGAGTGTGGAAGGCACTTTCCCATCACTCCTAGATTCTACCCTGGGTGTGAGAACAAGAGCTGTTCCTTCTAGTCAGCACATCACCTACTTCCCCAGAGTAGCTCTGGCTTTTGTCTTAAAAGTGGGATGAAACACAATTGCATTACTATGGTCTTTAAAGCTTGGAAGAAAAAAGGGACTAGGTTGTTTTTGGAGCATATCTATGGCTGATATGAAGCAGAAATCGAAAGATGCAAGTCTTGTGCAAGTGCATCACCTTATGTGCAGACCTCCTTTACCGTCAGAGGTAATGCAACCACAAACTGATTTTGAATGTCTTAATTTCAATGCACTAAAATTAAACAGTTTGATATCCAGGCTATACAAGCTGCTGACTCACTCATTTTGTAGCTCATCTGAACCATTAAAAGCATGTTGAGAGGGTGGACCTTGGGATACCAATGGATAATTTCCTCTGGGGCAAGTGTTTTATTTCCTGCTCAAAGGTGGAACTAAGTGCAATGGCAAAGGATCTGACTTTCAAATCACTTAACCACTTTCAAGGTACATATCCTCAGCACAGCTTCAAATAAATGCTTGGAGGGGTGTTATGTCTTCTGGTAGAGGCATTTTGGGGCAAAGCCTGAAAATTAACAGTTTGACCAAAAACCATCACCAAGACTCTAGCATTTGCAATCCTGAGTATCTTTCCAAAGGATTCACAATCTAAACTGCATAAAGACTTTGTTTCACACTGTTTAGCAGCAGCAAGGGCAACAATTGCAAGCCAGTAGAAAATTTCGACAAACTTTTCTTACCGAGCCTGGGTTAAGGGATAAGCAACACATTTTACAGTCACATTGAGTGCTCAAAGGGATGCAATTTGTAAGGAAGAAGCAATGGGTGGAGAAAGGTGTGCCGAAGCCTCTCCCCTTCTGTCCCTTCCCCTTGCAATGCCCCCAAATGCTTTCCCAACACACCACATACCCACAGAGAAGAGGTTACCTTGCATTCATCAGCTGAAAGGTTATGATACAGTGGGCATCCAGATATGGAGAAGTGTCTCTCATGTTTTCCCGTGAGATGTCCTGTGGAGACCCAAAGCTAGTAGTCAGAAAGAGTAATGGGTGGCCCTAAGCATCAAAGCTCAGATCACAGGAGGTTTGACTGTACCTAAAGAATTGCAGCCAGGGGTGGGACATTTCATATTGAAGTTGTAGCTTTCATGGAAACGACGGCGTTTGGGACGGTGGGACAGATCACTCCCAGAATCCTTCATGGACATATCCTTGGCAATGCTCTCATCATGAGACATGTTGGGACTGGAGATATCAATGTCGGACTCTGAAGATGGGGCATTCCCAGTTGGTGTGCGGGGTGGGGATTCATCATGGTCAGCTGCATTTTTAGTGTCTGTGTAAAAGGACAATGTTAAAAAAGGTGCAAGAAACTGGAAAACGAATTCCTCCACCTTAGCCACTTCTAAGTGGCAATACCAGGCCCAAAAAGTAATATACATTGTCCTTCTGATGGTGATCTCAGGATAAAGAAAGAGAAGCAGCCTAAGGAAGAAGTGTTGTAATAAGAGCTTCAGCTGGTCATCACTATGCTTCCTCTCTCTCTCCTGCCCCCTCCCCTTTGTACAAGGCTTCATTAAGCCACTATCTCTCAACCTACCTATCCGAAACCAATAAAGCACCAATAAGATACTGCAGGCACAGACAATGTGTAGAGTTTCAGATGTTTTGGTCTACAAATCCCATCATCCCTTGTCACTGGCTGGGGCTGATGGAAGTTGTAGGCTAAAACATCTGGAGGGCCACAAGTTACCCAGCCCTGCTGTATAGGAAGTTTAACAAAGAGCACTGTAAGGTGAAATCCTGTGCATGTTTATATAGAAACAAGTTCCCAACATTCCCCTGCCAGCATGACACACTGGGAAATGCTGGACGTTTAGGGTTTCTTCCTGTCTAAACATGCATAGGCCTGCGTCCTCTGAGAATTAATTCAGCGTACAGCTAAAGCCCTACTTACTACATTTCCCCCGTCCCATTGACAAACCTCTGTCAGAAAAGTCAACCACTTGTTCTGTTTCTGATCCAGATGAGCGGGTCTGTCGCAGTGGGTATTTTTTGGGAGTCACGGGTGTGGGCTGCTGCTGGCTGCGGGTGACCCTCCGAGTTGAATAAACAGGCTCCTCTGATCCAAATGAGGGAGGGTTGCGAACTGGGCTGGAATCTAGTTTAATGGGGGAAGAGGAGGTAATGGGGAAAAACATAGTTCACTGGAGGGGAAACAGAACTCCTACCACCCACATTTGCAGGGCCATCTGCTCCCTGCCATACAGAAGGCCCCGGGGCAGTCAGTCCTACCTATATTTGTTCTGGCAGAGATATAACATAGCCAAGGTTTCAAAAGTATGACATACGGTACAAACAATTCCCAGCTGACAGATGAGTTCCCTTCTGATCCTACACCATGCCCAAAGTCAGATTAAATATATGCGAAAAAGTGTAAGGTACAAATGTGAAGGTTTAGGTTCTGGACTCAATGCTGAGCTCAGCTATAAATTCACTAGATGGTTTTAGGCAAACTATCGGCTCCATTTGCAGGTTGTGAGTACCCAGCATCTGTATAAAGCTTGGATATTAATGAATGAGCAGGAACAAGAGCTGGTTTGCAGTGGTCTGTTTCTGAACTAAACCACACAGGAATGCTTCACCCCGAGTTGTTTAGCTCAACCTTACTGCAGTGGCAACAGCAAATGGCCAGTGAACACTAGCACACTCGCTATTTCTCCATAACAAATCTTAGTTTGAGTAGTTGCTACATCCAAGCACTACAAACTTCAAGGGAAAGAACTTGAGCAACTGATGCATTAAATGTTGTACAAACTTAATGCAGAGATAGTATATTCAAGACGACATTGTCTTCTGGACTGAGTTGTAGATCTCCCAAGGTTCAGTGGGGATGGAGAATGTGCAACAACTTGCAGAGCTTCAGAGCTGCAGTTGGCCATGGCAATGTGTAGGGTTAAAACCAGGACATCACCAATAAGGTCTCACCTATGCCTAGGTAAGGAACAGGGGCTCCTACCTGTTAAAAGCATTCCTTGTTCCATTTCCCATGGGTTTGGGGGCACAATTCAGCGTTGCAAGCATGTTTTCCCCAGAAATTCTGTAATAAAAGCTAGCACAGAGATCTACTTTAAAGGGACTGGGTGATTTACCTTGAGAACTCTGACTGAGCCTAGCAGAAGAGCGGGTTACACGTGCAGACTGGCGGGATGTCCCATCGCTTTCTGAACTGTCTGTATGCTCTGGGTCTGTAGAGAAATCAGAGTCTTCGGTTCCATCAGAACTGCTACCTGCATTTCTCTGAAAGACCAAAGACCGCAGCACACAAACCAACTGGGTTATTTATTTGGATCTACTCCATTAACAAACATTTTAAACAAAACACAATCATCATACAGGTACTGTTTCCTTGCATAACACAAAGTCAAATCTAGAAACATGTTATAATGCTCCCTTTTTAAAGAATGGCTCAAGCTAAACCTTGGAGGAACCTTATGCACATATAGAACATCCATACGTGTTCAAACCATGCATACTGTTTAGTGGAGACTTTCGTTCAGTTTTAAAGGTTTGCAATGGTATGTGGTGAAGGAAGCAATCTCCCACATCAAGCTGTAGGGATTTTTGTAGGATAAACCAGGCTCGCACAAACTGAATTCAGAAGGCCACAGGAGCAGCCTCATCTTGAGCCACACACCTGGCTGCATGCCCACCACAATACAGGCCAAGGGAAAGATTAGCGTCTCACTTCATTTAAAGACGGTAGGTTATACTACCACCGTATTTGGCAGCGGTGGTTCTCAAAGCATGAACCACTTGACTCTTATGTGAACAATGTCTTTTTGCCTAGAACCAATCAGAGTACATCCCTAAAAACATATTTTAGTAGCATGGTTTTCTTCTTCCTGGATCTCATTGCTAAAACCAGTGTCATATTTATAAAAGTCAAAGCTCCTAAACCAAGCTCTTAATAGCCTATCTGATAATTCAACCATGTTCAAAGGGCCTCTGTCTCTGTCATCTAATGGAAAAAAATCAAATTCAAGGTCAAATACAAATTTATTTATGTATTTGTTATATTTAAACTCTACCTTTTCATGCAAGGCGCACAAGGAGGTATACATGGCCCTCGCTATTTTCCTCTTATGACAACCCTGTGTGATAGTTTGGGTGAGAATTGGTGATTGACCCAAAGTCATCCAGTAAGTATCATGGTTGAGCGGGGATTTGAATGTTCCACTGTTCCAGACTAACACACTCACCACTGCACCATTCTGGCTCTCAACTGTTCTGCAAACTTTCTGTGAACTATCTGAATGGAACTCAAGGACCAGCAGTCATCTGTGGACCACACTTTGAGAACCTGTACCTAAAAGGGTTAGGGTTACCATGTACTTTCACTGATTTCTGCATGTCAGGTTGTTTTGTAAACACAAGGTCAGAGGTGGAAACTGGCTAACCACCTAAGAGTCCTGTTCCTGAACCTCTGATTTATCATGAGCTGCCTGTGATGAGAACCAGGTACACCACATTCTCCTTTCCACAGCTAATATACCCTGAGCAACAGCTTGCTTTACAGTCTCCATAAAACTGAAAGCCTGGGCAAGAGAAGCTGTCACTTACAAAATTGTCCACCAATATGTAACAAGCAGCTTAAGCTTGGAAATTTTAGTCTAGCTCAGCTTTCCCCTAACTTGTGCCTTCTAGACAAGTTTGGAGTGCAACACCCAGAATTCCCAGTCAATGGACCTACTGGATGGAGATTCTGGGAGGTGTGGTCCAAATGCCTCTGAAGGCTACCAGGTTGGGGAAGGCTGATCTAACTAGTTCCAAGCCTGAAGCAATGGTCATCTTCATGGAAGCCTCTTTTGCCGCTTTCTAAGTAGCCCATCTCAAAGTCAGGAACATTTCCCCCTTTATCACAGCACTATGCATCCTTTGCTTGCAAAAAGACAACCTCTCTTCTACCAGCCAAGCAGGACACAGTGGCACGGGCAGCCTCTTACGCTCACAGTCTACAACTATCAACACATATTGGTGACCTTTGATAGAATGGATGCCTTTTCATAGGATCATGGAATGAGAAGGGACTCAGGACCATCATCCCATTAGCCCCTTCCTCCACCATAAATCAGTCAATACAGTAAAGATTGCTACCTGCTTCTGGCAAGGTCTATGTGCCTTCAGTATGTATGTGACAAGCAGAAATTCAACACATGAGGTGCTTTCTGGCACAAAAAGACTGTAACAGGGTAAATCTGTTCAATTCTAACTACTGTGGAGCTTTTCAAGACTCAAAGACTCAGCCATGGGGGCAAAAAGGGAAGCAAACCTATACACAAACGAGGCCATTAGCAAAGAACATCCCATCTCACCTACAGCTGGCATTCATATTTGGTAGCCACAGCAGCAGCAGACACCAGGTGCGTTGCAGGGAAGAGATCTGCAAACCACATGTCTCTAAGAGAAGCCAAACATGGACCACAAGGAAACATCTCAGTCCAGGCTCCCTTCAGGATCACAGTCAAAGGAATACCCTTTTTAAGAAGTGCTCTTCTCACAAATGTTTTACGCAGTAACATTAGAGCAAATTCCATTTTCTCATTGGGATTCATATGACAAGTTTTCCCACTTATTTTCCTTGTTTTTCGATTTTATCTCCCTATGTGGAGGTTAATGTTACAGTGGCAAAAAAAAACACAAAGCACCACACCCACCCACACAGGCATAAGAGGTGCCAAGGAAGGACTGAGAGAGAAAGATTATTTTATATGGATATTTTAACTTATTGTTTTATCTATGTTGTAAGCCGCCCCGAGGCTTCGGCGAATGGGGCGGCATAAAAATGTTTTAATAAATAAAATAAAAAAATAAAAGGAAAACTGTACAATAGTAGGGGATTAGAATTTCATTCATATAAAATTTCAATGCTTCTAATTTCCTGGTCCCTAAGGAAATAATATAAGGATTGAAAAACTGAGCCTTCCAGGGTTCTTATGTACATGAATACTGCCTGCATATTTAATACATAGCTGCACACTACATACAAAGTTCCAGTACTCTGCAGCTCAAACACCAGATTATAATCCAGCTACTAAGAAATGTACTCTATTAATCTCAGTAGAACTTGTGTACTTGTAAGAAGTCTGCAATTAGGGACCCTGCCATCTGTTCTTTTAGGAACATTCTATTATAGCCTCACAGTGTCTTCAGAAGGAATGTTGGGAGCTGTAGACTTGGAAGTGTGATGAAGTTGCTGTACAAAATGCTAGTCTCCCTACAAAAATACAATCCACAGCCCATACTACTTACATTCATAGCCTTTTGATCTCCCTAAGTAGTTTTATCTACTTCCACAAATATCTGTCAGTACTTCAAGCATCTGATGAAGGGGCTGTAGTTCACAAACACTTACACCAGACTCTATCTTCTAGCTTTTAAACGACCACAAGTCTCCTTTTTGCTTTTTTTTTTTTTTTTTTGAAACAGAGTAATAAAGAATCTCCTCCACAATTTGTACAAGGTTCCTGGAATTTTCTTAAGCAGATTGTTACAAGAGAGGCCTTCTATTTACAGTATCGCTCTCAAATGCCTGTTATAGCCTGTAACCAAAATGCCCATGCATCTAAAACATACAGCCCGATGCGACTTTGATTTAAGCAAATGCCATGGCGTTCCATCCAAGCAGGCAAATTACCATCTTACTTCACCAACACTCCTCACATCCCTAAAGGGAGCAAGCAACACGGATTGGACAACATTTTGAACCTTTTGTAACATTTCCCCTCACCTCCAATCACAGGAACGAGGGGCGGATCTTCAAGGAAAGGGGCGGGATTTAGAAGATGCCAATTCAGACCAGGAGTCTCAACCAATCAGCGCTTACCTCAACATCCGCTCCCAAGGCACACAGCCAAGTATGAAGTCGTTGGGAAGCAGGAGAGACAGAAGAGGAGGGGAGAAGAAAACCGCGCCAGTAGGAAGTGATAGGGGAAGCAACCAATAACAGCTCAGCAGCGAAGCCAATTAGGAACGAAAGGAGGTGGGATACAACAATCACCGAAGGGGTGGAGGGAAACAAATAACCGTCGAGGGAGGGTACTGCACTTGACTGATAGCGAAACAGGCCATTGAAATTGCGGCGGGAGGCAGCAGCAACCAATCAAGCCGCAAGATGAAACAGGGGTTTGAAGGCCTACGTTTTTAACTGGTTTTCGAGCCTGACGGTCTAAGCGGGTAAAGGAGAAGAGAGGAGAAGGAGGTTGGCTCGGTTCGCGCGCTCTCACCTTTCTACGCGACATCCTCGGTGGCGGCGGCGGCGGAGGCAGCGAGGGTGGCTGCGCCCCGGCCGCCGGGTTGGCTCCGGCTGTATCCGTGGTGACTGGCGTGTCTCCGGTTTCACAGCGCTAGGCCGCGCCGCTTTGTTTTTCCTTTTCTTCCAGCTGCGACCTTTCAGCCGACTCCCTTCACTCTTCCGCCGGGACACACGACGGGGATACACACACCCCCGTCCTGCCTGTCACGTGACGCAGACAACCCTCACCTCACGCTAACGGCATTCCGCCATCTTGGAATCGGGATTGGCGCCTCTAAGAACCGCGCGTCCATATATTACTGCGGCCATTTTGGTTGTGGGTAGTGTCTCCGTTCTCAATAGCGGAGGCAGCCATTTTTAAGTTGGGTAACGTGGAGGGGTTCCCTACAGTTGAGGTACAGCAACCATAGCAGCGACAGGCTTCGCATGTTTCCCTAGTATTGGCTCTACCATCTTTGTTTTGGGAACAAGGTGCGTTCTTCATAATGCGAAATTCCATCTTTAATTTGGGCGAGAGAGGGTGCTTTTCCTAATGCTGCCGTTTGTAGTACAAAAAGCACGGTTATATTTTTCAGTATCACATGGACTATATTAAGGCCAGTATCTTTTTACCTGGAAATATCCCGCTGAATTAAGTGGAGCTTAACTTTTGAGTTGGCATGTATAGGATTTTGTTGGTGTTCGATTAATAGTATGGATAAAATCTTATTTTTTTATTTATAAGGGGCCCTGGACTTGCTTGGTAACACAATATAAACAAAGTTAACGTAAATACTCAACTGTTGATGACATCTGTTGTCTTAGACAAAATATTGCCCCTTGCCTCTTTTAACAGTGAAGGCCACTTCTGTAATGTACAATCTAAAGGCAAAGAAAGAATGCATTTGTTTTCAAAAGCATTGTTTTATCCTATTCAAACTAGTCAACAGTAAAATTCTGACTATATATGGAGCATTAAACAATGCTACCCTTGTTCATGTGTATTCAGAAAAAAAATCCTCTTGCTTGGTAGTGCTTTCTGCCAGGTTAATGTGCACGGAGTTGAACTTCAAGGGATTTTTTCCCCTTTAAGTGTCATCCCTAATTTTAATGCATCCTTTACTGCAATAGGTTAACTAGGGAAGTAAGCCTGGCTAAACTTGGAATTTGCAGCCCATTCCTCTGCATGTTTAAGGAGCTCCACTGATTACAGTGGGGATTTCTCCTATGTAACATGCACAGAAAATCTGTCTTAATTTGCTATAAATATGCTTAGGGCCAGAGTGCAATAGTACTGTTTACAATCTTTTCAGGGGCTTCACAAGAATCCCATGCCTGAAGCTTGTTCCAGGTTCTTTATTTGCAATTGCTAGTGCATTATTCAGAAGTGCAGATGAAGTCCATATAATGGAACTAGGATTTAGACATGTAAACATGTTCTTGGACCATCCCTACTCACATGGTCATTCCTTAAGAGATGGCCTTTGTATGAGATTCACTAGCAGCATAGCTTTATTTATGCTCAAACAGAATGTTCTCATGAATCCAATTAAGGGACCTAGGAGAAACCAATTGCAGTCTTATTCTCATTTTAGATGTTTTATTTTTAAAACCCATCTGTCCTTTTGTACTTCAAACCAGACCTAAGGAAGCTTCCAGATTAAAAAGAATACTTTCTGAGGGGAAAAGTAAAAACAATTGTATCTTAGTAATAAATCAGCAGTTTGGGATTGGCATAAAATGGGTCAATATTAAAACACATTGGTCTAGCAGGGGGTTAAAAAAGAAAAAGATTTTTAAAAGATTTTAAAGAAAAAATCTCTCTTCCCTCCCTGCAAAGTGACACTCCAGCAGACAAAATAACATTAAGATGCTTCACAGGTCTCATCTGCACACCCTGTATTAAGCATCTATTTCTGAATATAAACAGAAGCACAATGGTGGCTATTTTGGCTGCCATCTCTGATTGGCTGCCTGTTAAAAAGCTCTTTCAAACACTGAAAGGGTTGCATTTCTGTATTCTCCCAAGTGGTGACACAACTCTTGCCAACCCCATTCTTTCTAGATTCCAGATCAGGTGCTAAAATATGGTAAAATTCACTTTGGTGCTTGGCAGGCCAGTATTTATTAACACCATGCTGAGTGATTGCATACATACTGTGATCAGTTATCACTTCTGAATTCACTCTATTGCTATCTTTGGTTTTAAAGGAAGTGTGTACAGCAGCTGGTGGGTAGCCATGTGTTGCCACACCCTCACAAATGCCTTGCACTTCTGGCAACTTGGTGCACGTCTGCCAACCTCATTTTATGCTTGGTCAACCTTAAGAGATCATGATGGGACACCATGTGAGTTTGCCTTCTCTTTTTCTGGGCTCAGATCACAGGTTCCTACACTATTCGTGTTAAAAAAGAATTGCCAGTGAAAATAGCCAATATTAAAGGGCTACAACCTTGCTTAGGTTTTTTTTTTTTAACTTGCTTTAGCATCTGAGTGCTTGTCAGCTTTACCGTCCTTTTGATCTGCCATTTAGTGATGTAGCGATCAATGTGGTCCATCTGGCTGACTGGTGTCTAATAGTACTAAATAGGATAGCTGACCTCTAGATAGGCATCTTTATAGCATGCATACCCATGGATAATTTCAAAGATGCCCATCCCAGATAAACAAAGCAAAAAAAATGAGGCATCTTAAAGATGAACACATTATTAATTTTAAGGTGCCATACAACTCAACGTTTCCACTTCAGCAGATTATGATTACTCTTTTTAATTTTATAATGTTGTTTTACTGTTTGTCAATTGATCCTAAGATGGTTCACAATAAAACTATAAAATACAATAACTCTGTAAATAAAACACTAAATAGTAGTCCTCCACATGTTTATTTTGAAATAAGTCTGAGTTCAGTGAGTCCTTCCCCTAGGTAAGTAGACGAATAAACCTGGAAGTAGACACAGGATTATTCTGTGAAACATTTAAAACAGCAGATCTTGGTATACACAGGGAAGTGTGTCTAGGAAGCCCAGAGCTTCATTTCTCAGCACATTTGCTTGAAAAAGAATTCCACTGAAACTGATGGGCCTCGTTCCCAAGTAAATATGATAGGGATTAAGGTCTTACAAACTTCCCGACCTTTAGGAACCATCTCTGAGTTGGTTTAAATCCAAAACTGAATTGGGCTGTGAATCACTTTGCAAGTTTCTTTGTCGAATGTCTCTTATTGCAAACTACTGCTGGTGGGACAGGAGAATCTGAAAAGGAGCTCTAACTTCACCGTGCAAGGAAGTTGTCTTCTTTCGAGATAAACTGGACTCCAGCCAAAATAGGAGCTTCCCACCAACACATGCACACATCTTATCTTAAGGCTTCAGAGAGTCTGCTCTAACATCTGTAGGAGATAATGCTCACCACACCCACTCCCCTGCAGACATTTCTGTCTGTAGTAGGTGGACACATGACAAAAGCAAAATTCAAAAAAAAAAGAACTCTTCATAGGCTGGCTTCTAACTCAGATTTTAGCACAATATAACAAGATGTCATCAGAAAACCTTGCCTTGCTTTGGGGGTTGAGTTGTTTTTTCCCACAATAACTCATTGATTGGCAAGCTGTAGCAACATTTTAATAAGTAATGGCAAAATGAAAGCAAAATGTTCAGAGAGAAGGGGTTGTGCTCATTATGCTTGACAACGCAGGAGAAACTTAAACATTTAAGCAAAAGCAGGAAAACTGACATCAGCTTGGTATTTAATTGCTCCATTTCAGAAATGCTGAAGCTATGTGACCTAACTCTGCCCAAACCCAGGTTTAATTAGGAGGGCTGCTATTGCACTCCTATACCTGTGCAAGCTAGTCACTCTTATCTTCCAATCTGTATTTGGCAGTCACAGATTTGCAGCCCAACCTGCCTCACAGGGTGGTTGTGAGAATAAATCGGAGCTATGCAAGACACCTTGGGTTCCTCACAAGAGGAAAAAAGGCAGGGTATAAATGCAATGTAATAGTGTTCATTTCCTCTGTGCTCTTCAAGCAAAGTGTGTGTGTTCTTCTGACCCATCCTCAAGGGTTCCTATGTCTTGGACAAAAAGATAGTCGGGCAAGGTTTTGTCAGGGGTGTAGTATTTGGAGTATGTTGGTGAGAAAAGGGTGTGTTGAGGGATGTCTGATAGATGTGTGATCTGTCTTCCCTCTGTGTGGAATGTTTGTGCTGTTTCTTTTATGGGGTTGTGCACTGCTGTTCTTGTTTTTGAGGCACCACACACATTTTTGCACAGCTTTCCATAAATGCAGGGCAGGATCCCAGGCCTGGCTTAGGAGTAGAAAACCAGTGAACCTTACTAATTGTTCCCATGCCCTCCTGTACCAAAAGCTCCTTTAACCCATTTGGACATTATCTGAGGCCTTGAACTGGTGTGCTGGCCCTTACAGTTTTGTATAGAGTATTTATACAGTAGTGAGGAAAACATTGGGTAATGTTCCTGCCAATGATTGCTTATAAAGGTGGAACGGGGATACAGGGGAAATTTCAGAGAGCCTGCCTGCTAGTTTCATGAAAATTGGAAATGTTTCTAAACCAAACCCGGTAAACATGAGAAGAAAAACACATGCCCAGTTATCTGAGGGCCTGGGAGTATGATACTGGCATCTAGGCCTTTTAAAACATTTTGGTTTTATAAATACAGAACAATATTCATAAAACATTTTGTAAGGGTTACAAAGAGAAATGTGCTTGTAGATTAAATTATTTCTCAAATAATTTTCCAAGTTCATAAAAGTGGGAAAGTCTTAGCTCAGTAGTAGAGTACCTTGCTACATTCTGAACTAAGAGCATGGGTCCGTCTAGCACAGTGGTGCTTCAGAATTCCAGGTGGAACTTTCTCAATGCTATCAAGAGATTCCATTGACTGCACCCAGCATCTTCTGAGCTCCCATGTTTATTTGCTGACATCTGCAAGTAAAATACCTTGGATAACAGAGATAAGAGGTTACATCTGCCTGGAACTCTAGCAAGCTTCTCCTGGTTGAAACAAACAGATAGTACTGGCCTAGGCCAACAATGGATTTTAACATTTGTTGGCCCTTCTTATGAATACATGTACATAACTAATTATCTAAATTAGGATGGGCAACTTTTAGGTTAAAAAAATATGGGGGGCTGCACCAAGCTAGCAAGGACTAATGGCAGAACATAGCCTTGCATATGTTCTGGCCTACAAGTTGGCAGCCCCTGTTGTAAATTAAGCAACAAAAATACATAAATTATCAATATCAGTAAAGTCTGTGGTCTTCATACTGCATGTTGGAAAACAGCAGAGACTGGCTTATGACAGACTTTAAATGAAGTCCTTTGTCAATCTTTGAAGACAAATGGTAGGGCTGAAACGTTTGGATTTCCAGCCAAAACTGCACAAGAACACACTCAAGCTTACAACAAAATTTGCCCTGCTTAATTCCTTCTCCTCAGGCACCTCCACCTTCCAGCACAAATTCAGAACTTTGTTGCATTCAGAAGCCCTGAGGTCCATGGACTTGCATACTGGTAACAATTGCACAATATAATAACAGGAATTATACTTTTCCCACAAGATTAAACCCGAGTTAACGAACGCCGCAGCTTTTCATTATCCTTCGTGGGGGGTGGGGAGGTTGAAGTCGCTGCTCAAGCACAGCTCTATTAAATCCTGGATTCTACCATTGCTTTATACAGGAAGCGCTCACCTCTGCACTCCTTTGGAAAAAAATGAGGTGTCGACCCCCCCCCCCCCAAAAAGACCTTCAAAATCGAGCAGCTTATGCAGTTCTTACTAATACCAACCTATCAGAATAGCCAACTAACGTACTCTAAGCCGCTTCGCGGTATTTTTCCTCTACGGGAAGCGGTGTATAAATATTTTGAAATAAGTATACCTTCCGGAGGGTGAGTCTCGCCACTTAAAAGAAAAACCCAAAAACTCCAAGGCATCCGACTGGCCACTCCCTCCTCCCCGTCTGCAGACCGAGCGGGTAGGACGCTCGCTCGCTGCTCGGAGGTGAAGGAGAGGGAGGAGTTGTGGGCGAGCCCGTGCCTCGGCTCCGCCTCGCCCAACTTTGCTGCCCAATGAGCGGCCGCGACTCCTGCCTGAGGCCCCGCCCGTCACGTCTTGAAAAGGCAGCCCGTGTGAGGGGCGACCTGGGAGCGGGTCGGTTGTCGCCGAGGGAGCAAGTCCTTCCAGCCGGGCGCTGAGCGGTTCCGCGCCCGACGAGTGGGGGCCACGGGGAAGAAGGGTTGCTCGGTGGGATCGCTTGCTCGCCAGCCACCGGGCTGATGGCGGCGGGGACGTCTTCCTGTTGCCGGGGCGGGCTGCAGCCGCTCAAGGCCACCGTCCCCTTCCAGCTGCAGCACCGGCGAAGCGGAGATGGGGGCCGGGCAGGTATGCGGGGTGGGAAAGGAAAGTCCAAGCAGGGGTTGAGGAGTGGCGGCAGGGTAAGGAACAGGCCCGAGAACGGTCAAGTGTAGTATGGGACCGAGTGAGGAGGCGCAGGAGTGAGACGCAGAAGAGGGCAGGTTTCGGGGGGTAGTGTTAAAGGGTGTGAGTGTGTAAAAGTGCAGCGAATGGGAGGGGGCAAATATGGAAGCAGCGAGGAAAGGGGGGGGCAAACCGAGCGGCTGTGACAGGCTGAGGTATGGAGTGACGAAGGAGGAGGGGCGGCGATGTCCAAAGATGGTTTTTGTGTGCTGGTAATATGGGCGGTTTGAAGGGGGTGGTAGGGAAGGGGAAGTAAGGGGGGGGCGCTATAGTGGAGAAGGGGTACGAGGGTAGGTGATGGGTTTTGAGGAAAAGAAAGCAAGGGGCCCTGATGGTGAAAGGGGTGCAACTGAAGGAGCAGGAGTTGGGTGAGGGGCTGGACGATGAGTACCTGGGAGTGGGGATTAAAGGGGTAGATTGGGGAGGGAGCCAAGCCCTTTGATAGCAGCATCTGGGTCTGAACAGTGAGGTATTCTCCCTAGTCTACAGGTCCCCTCCCCCCCACAATTTTTCAGGATGGTGGAGTTCCAGGTAAACTGTAGAGAGCACCACAAGCACCTCTCCTTCATGGGTAGACAAGCTCCAGAACGGCAAATGGAGTTTTACAAACAGTAACAGTGAAGTCATATATAGTAAGACTTCTCTCTCACACATGCATATATATAAAATAAATTCTTGTCTACATAAAATGCTGATTCTTCTGAACTGGCTGTGTTCGCACATGAAAGCTATCTTGGGAAGCTTGCAAAAATGCTGGTTCAGTACATGGGTGGGGGAAGGTAAAAAAGCCAAACCTTGGGCATTAAGGGGGCTGCAAATATCTCTATTTCTATAGTGTGCAATAGCCACAGCTCTCTGGACAGTGTACAACAGTAATTCATTAATGCTAATAAATATGTGGCATGGCTGTAGTTTAAAATCCAGAGCTGTCTACAATCTCCTTTGGAAAAAGGCTGTCATGCAGCTGGAAAAAGGTCCAGAGGTTGGTGTGGAGGAAAAGGGCACAAAATCTTGGGTTGGAAAAGGGATGTTTTGTGGAGTCAGTTGCACTGCTGGCTGGGGTTAAACATGATGGCAGGAAAGGTCATGGAGAGCTGCAGAACAAGGTCTTAAAATGTACATATGGGAAGGAAAGAGAGTGGAACAGGCATAGGTTGTATTGAATAACAGCATGGATCAAAATGGGTCATTATATAGGTGCTCCAGGTGAAGGGGACAAATAAGGTGCAAGCAGTTCAAGCCTAGAAAGGAAAGCTAGATAACTTTGCTGGGCTGGGAAAACAGGAGGGTTGGCTGAGCAGCTGGAGATTTAGATCAGTGAATTGGGAAGGAACTCTATTTCTGAAAAGTGGACATATAAAACCCAGACTGGGATTAGGTTAAGGGGAGCAGTGAGAGCTGTTGGCTACCATTCTATGAAATGGAAGGAGCCATCTAAAGAGGATAGGTTAGTAATGGAGAAAGCAAGGTATTCTTGCAAAGGAAAAAGAGCAGTGTTGTGTTGCAGAATATTTGGCATACTCAGCAATGATATATGGCTAAGCAGTATGGGGAGAGCTTAACGTTGTTGGGGGAGCAGCATAATGGGCTAGTGGCATGTCTGGGGTAAAGCCAGGAGGTTCAGGCAGGAATTTGGCAGGGATAGAAGGTAGATATGTCCATATTGGCACCCTCTTCTCCTCCTGTTGTGCTTTTGACTCATGTCACTGCTCTGACTTGCGATGGTCTTCTCTGTGGGGATTTTCTTCTAGGGGCCAACCTTATCTGGGTTATGTTGATTTAGTGGTGGTTATTCCATCGCCATTGTTCCTTTGCAGACAAAATCATTGGACTATTCAGGTAATTCCATATAAACAACACAAATAGCTTAAGCTGCCTGCAAAATTGCATGATTGATTGGTCAGCAGAAGTTAGAAACTAAGTGAAGGATTTGTTGTGGCTGTAGTGACCTCACATGCAGTTCCCCTCCTCTAAATTCTTCTTCAGGGCGTATAAGCACTGCTTGTTGGGCCTGAGGAAACTGAACTCCACACATTCAGTGGAGAGCTGAGCTCAGTTTAGTAGTCTTCACATGTCAGATCTGATTTAAAGGGGACATAGACAGGTCTGTTAAATTGTAATGAGTACTTGATGCAGAGTTCCTTCAAGCGGCTGGGACTTGGCCTGTAAGCCCTGCCCTGTGGGGCATTGTCCCTGGAGGAATCCTGCTGTTATCTCTCACCTCTGATCAGAGATAACAGTGCAGATGCAGTGGGCAAGTGGTTTTCCTGGCATTGCTTTCACACCACTGACTTGTTTTATTACATTTATATTGCACTTCTTCTCCTCACATGATATGCAAGACATAACCTGTCTGCATAGCTATACATCAAGGAAGCATGTTGAGTCACCTTTGCTAAGCTGGAAAGGTTCAGGCCTGCAGCCAGATGGGTGACCACATGTGAAGCAGAGCAAGGGGTTGGACATGATGGCTTTATAGGTCCCTTCCAACTCTACTACTGTTCTATTCTAATTTTCCTCCTCTCCATTTCCTCCTCAGAACAAGCCTGTGAGGTAGGTCATCCTGAGCATGAGTGAGTGGCCCAGAGTAACCCAGTGAGCTTCATGGCTTGAGTGGCAACTAGAACCTGGATCTCCCAGTCCAGCATTCTAGGCTGTGTGCCACACTAGCTCATAATGACTTGGTACCATGCATATGCCTTGTGCAAGTTCCTTCAGAAGAGATTGTAAACACTTTACAATAGGTCATTCAGCGTTTATTCCTTAAGAAATGTATATATACCCATTTGGGTATATCACAGCAGAACTGCTAAAGGCAAAGATAATTTCTATTGCTGTATGTTTAAGCTGGGTAGATAGTACATTCAAGTACGTTATATTATTCGCCTCTGCACATGGCATTTTTTGCTCAGTGTGCTGGCAAAGGGATAAAGAACAAAGAACTCTTATTTTTGATCTCACAACTGAGTCTCTACAAGGCGGTGTCAAGTCAAAACCTCTAATACATCACCTGCATTTTTCTAGAGAAATATTACATAAAGTTAGTCGGGATGTTACAGAACCTCAGTGAAGGTGTATCTAATCACAAAGAGAATGGAAATGACTTTTGAAAAATATCTTCAGATGAACCTGTGATGATTGATAGATATACCTTTTATTGAGAGCCATGTTAACTTTATCATTTTATATTGGCCATGTTTCTTCAGTCTATAACTTTGTGGGAATTAATAAAATAAGTTGCTGATTGACAGAAAGCTGTTGTTGTTTGATACACATGCCATTTACAGTAACTGACCAAACTCCAGGATGCTCTGAAATTAGTGGAGGCCCTTTCCTATCTGACAAATGTGATGTTTTCAGCTACCAGAGATAGAACCATAATGAAATCAGTGCCATGTCGCTCAGGATTTCAAAGAAATGAAGGTCTGGCTCAAAGACCTTAGCTGCTTTGTGGGCCATAGGACTGCTCCCTCTATGTATTCTTGCTAAAGTTTCCCTCTAAAAATACAAGAATTGCCCCCAAAAAACAAATGAGTCTTTACATTGCATATTTTGAACTGGGTATACTTTTTGTCACATGACTCTTACAATGCCGTTAATGGTTGGTTGAAAGGATTACAGGTCTTCTATAAAGTCCTGTTGAAGTATGAGACTAGATTTCTCCTCTGCCTTCTGGCAATTTCTTGTAAATCTTCATTGACTACACACACACACAAGGCCTTTTCAGAGAGGCCTTGTTTTTCCCTCTGAGGTGAATGGGAACATCTTTAGGAAGATAGAAGGAAAGCCTTATGTACTAATGTTGCTAGGAACAAATGGTTATAGTTAGGGGCAGGTGCTTGTCTGCTTAAAAGCAAATATGTAGGTGTTGGTTTTTCCTGTGTTTGGTGAAAAGTTGATAATGTTAAAACTTAGGTGTTAAAAATAGAGTAGCTGAGAATTGTTAGTCAGCCTGAACTTGGTGCCAACAGATCTGTGTATCTGAACCCAGAAATGCAAGAATCCACAAAATAAAGAATGGGTGGGGTTTCTACATAAGGAGTTAGAAGGATATATATGGTAGAAGTTTTGCACTCATCTGTGTTTCTACCTTGCTTTTTATATTCCTACCTTCTAAGCACATCTACTTCCCGTAAGGTTGTGGCTGATAAAACATGGCAGCAGATATGTTTAAACCTTATTTTCAATTCTGCTTGTGAAATTAGTGGCAGTAGGGGGGATTGATTCCAGGGACCATATAGAGTGTTATAAGATTTAGATCCCTCTCAAGGCTGCCTACCAAAATGAGAGGTTGGTAAGAGCCATCTGTTTTCAATGAGGTCAGATCTTTGCATTCTGAGGCTTGTGTGCCACTTTTCCCTTTTATTATCTAATTCTAACTTAGTGCTTATGCGAATGCTATATCAGGACTGAAAAGGTTTGTTTTTTTTTTAAACAAAACAAAAACACAATTTACTACCTCATTTAGTAGAGGTCTTTGACAAATGGCTCCATTTGCAGAAAGTAGCTATGACTCTGCTAGGGAAAGTATATGAAGTGCCTAGAAGCATGTGAATTTATTTACATTTCAGGGTGAGCAGGTAGAAATGAGAGAATATGAAAGGATAGGGTGGCTGGTAATCACAGCAAAGCTGATATTAGGCTCATACATGACGATAGTTTATTGCTTTATTTTTCTGAGTGGGTCATATGGTCAGAAGGATTCCAGTCTCCCAAGAAGCTTGCAGTTTTTCTTGTAATTGTTCAGATATATAGGTCTCGTGAACCTGAGACCCAACACTTTGGTGCTTAGCAAGGGGTTGGGTAGAGCCTTGTAGGTAGTAGCCTGAATGAATGGTGGAAGCTTTCTATGGGCTGGAGCTCACAGATATCGTCTTCTTGCCCCATGCTTTTGTTCCAGTACA